AAAACAGATTACCTGGTATGTTTATGTCCTTCACAATAAGGGGAAGTTTCCGTCTCTGCATCATGGGTCAGTGGTCAGCGACTGTACTGTAAATATTTTTCCCCTGGTCGATTCAATGGAGTAGGAGACTTGCATACATGTACCATTATTTCATTTCCTCATTACCTCAAGGTTATAAGCTATTGTTTTTGGGCCACCCACCCTCATGCACACACACACACACACTGAGCAGTGATAAAGACTAATGCATTAAGCATGGCAGGTCCCTGATAAAGGACGGAAGTCATCACGTCACTCAGAAAGACTGCTTTGCTTTGGAATTTTAGGCCTTTTTGTTTTTTCAACCTTCAAACTTGTAAGTTGCTTATGCAAGATGAGGAATGTCTGTGATAACATCCAAACTGTAAGCACATATGTCACATTTTCCAGTTGACTTAAAGTCTGGCCATCTTAACTGGACATGTTTTTTTCATGTATGCTTCACAATAATGCCCCAAAAGTGTGTTTGTTTTGCCCTGCTCCACCCTGAAGAATAAGACTCAAGCTTGCTTAAGATATGTTTAGCAAACTACTACATGAACAAATGGCATGAAGCCACTAGTAAGACCACAGCAGCACAGGAATATAAAGAAACAACTACATCAATCAACTGAAATCTGAAAATAAATAAGTCAGAGGTAATACTTGCCTTGTTAAAATATTTATTTATTCATTTATGTTTACCTCTCTCTTTTTAAAGGCAAAGGGAGACATTTATTCATAGCATGATGTGGCAGCTGCTTTAATTTAAAGGAGAACGAATGTTTGCATATGTAAACACGGTTTTATGAATGAAAGTGAACCAGTAACCTGGTGACTACCTACCTCAGATCAGGAGCATTATACCAAATTAATCACACCTGTGGGTGGAACGTCACCCGCTGCACATTATATGTATGACGCACACCCACACACTCTTCCTCTTTCTATCGACTGGGAAGTAAAGGACAATGCCAACTTTCACCATCGAGTGACAGGGGAGGGTTACAGGTTCACTTTCATTCATAAAGCCGTGTTTACATGTAACCTGGTGACAACAATATACCAAATAAGTCACGAGGAGAGTGAGTTGGCACAACCCATAGGTCAAGGCCAAACATTGGTGGAGTCCACCAATTGTAAGAAAACAACAGAGCACACTCATGTAGTTGAACTTAAGCAATTTATTTTTAACAGATGAAAAATATTTGCGAACACAAAATCCCCTCGGGGGCAAGGTTCAAAGTGAAAACGCCATTCCAGGGCATGTATCCCCACTGCCAATCTACAGCCAGACCCCTGTGAGAGATATTGTTACAAAATCAAAAACAAACACTTAAAAGAAAAAGTTCAAACCTTTCCGGAGAATAGGCTTACCCTTGTGAGGTTTCTTCTGGGGCAGCCATTATGCATTTATAATATTACAAAAAAGGGTGGAGACAAGGAGGTACACATTGAATTCATTAATCTATGATGTAAAGTACTACAGCCATTAAATAAAGTATGGGTAGAACTCAGTGCTGTTTCTTTTTTATCTGATCATTAGGCCTTGGGACAGGGGTTGCGGGGGGAACGGAGCAGGAGGTCTTGGCACAGGCAGAGGTCAGGGAGGGTTCGGAGCTGGAACAGGCTACGGAGCTGGAGGTCAGTGGTTTTTATTTGGCTTTACCTGTTTATTTACTTTTTTACTTCTGATATGCAACAGGTAGTTTGACGAGTGTATAAAACAGTATTTTAAGTGCTCTAAAGCGATATTAGCATACATCACGCCACCACTTTAGGTATCACGATAACATGAGTGCAAGCCAAATAAACATATCAAGCTGCCTCAGAGCTGCTCCTATGAAACACCGAACAATGATTCTCTTGATAAATTGCATTTGTATATATCTATTACCTTAAAGGATATTTGTGTGTTAAACAAACCACTGTCCTAACACAGGTGGATATGGAGGTGGTTATGGACCAGGTGGAGCTGGTCAATACCCAGGATTTGGTGGAACTGGTCCTAAACCTCCTAAAACAGGTATTTGTTGTTATCTTGTGACCATTACACAGATTGCTTCTCAAATATGTGACTGTTTTGTTGTTTGTTTGTTTACATTAGGCGGGGCTAGAACTTCACTTGGAGGAACAGGTTATGGGCCTGCTGGTGCTGGATTTGGCCCTGGTGGTGCTGGACTAGGGCCCGGTGGTGCTGGATTTGGGCCCGGTGGTGCTGGACTAGGCCCTGGTGGTGCAGGAGTAGGCCCCGGTGGTGCTGGATTAGGGCCTGGTGGAGCAGGATTTGGGCCCGGTGGTGCTGGAGTAGGGCCTGGTGGAGCAGGGTTTGGGCCCGGTGGTGCTGGTGTAGGGCCTGGTGGAGCAGGATTTGGGCCCGGTGGTGCTGGAGTAGGGCCTGGTGGAGCAGGGTTTGGGCCCGGTGGTGCTGGAGTAGGGCCTGGTGGAGCAGGATTTGGGCCCGGTGGTGCTGGAGTAGGGCCTGGTGGAGCAGGTTTGGGCCCGGTGGTGCTGGAGTAGGGCCTGGTGGAGCAGGATTTGGGCCCGGTGGTGCAGGAGTAGGGCCTGGTGGTGCTGGATTTGGCCCTGGTGGTGCTGGACTAGGGCCTGGTGGTGCTGGATTTGGGCCCGGTGGTGCTGGAGTAGGCCCTGGCGGTGCTGGACTAGGCCCCAGTGGTGCTGGATTAAGGCCTGGTGGAGCAGGAGTAGGGCCTGGTGGAGCAGGAGTAGGGCCTGGAGGTGCTGCTGTGCCAGGAGGAGGTAAATAAAATAATTTACGTCAGTCAATGCCGTGTTCAACAGTATTTATGAATTAGTATATAATTTATACAACGTTTTGAGTTTCAAACTAATGCACTAAAGCTTAACTGTACTTTACTATTGTAAGCTTGTATTTAAACATTTGTAATGATAAAAAAATAAATATTGTACAACTCAATAAAAGCTGGTTTTAGTATTTAAAGCATTCAAAGTGACCACTGTAGGATTTACTTGTGCTGTGTAACAGAAGTGTGCTATTTGGTAAATTATCTCGAGAGATTGTTTATTTCTTCTGGAACAACAGGGGGGGGACCTGGAGGAAAGAGTGGTGGAAAAGCATCAAAACAAGTACCAGGTAAGAAAAGAGTAATAAGAAAACTTAATAAGAAAACATCATCTTTGTGAACAAAGGATGTAAACAATAGTTAATTTTAGAGTTCATGACCAACAACAAGAACTGAATATTTTTGAGAATATGTTCTAAACTTGGAATTGCTGTTATACAGGGGTTGGGGTGCCGGGACTCTATCAAGGTGGATTTGTACCAGGACAAGGTAGGATTCAAAACATGAAACATTAAACAAAGATAAAAAGAAAAACTAATATATTCTGTGAGGGATTCAGTGTGTAAACAGAAGCAATGGTTGCTTTTCATCTTCCCTGGCTAGGTTTTGGTGGCCGTGGTGTTCTCCCTGGAGTCGCTACTGGAAATGGACTTGGACCTCAGAGCGGTATGTAAACACACTCCATGATAATAAATCTTGGAATAACACATTTTGGCATGGCTTTTATGTCTAAAAATAATAAACGTTTCCTCATTATTCTCAGGGGCTGGAGTACTTGGCCAGGGGAGTGCTGGACCTGGGGGAGCAGGAAGTAAGTGTCATAATGACTTTTTTATAAATCACTTGATCTTCAAAAATAAAAAGCCTTATTGACAGTTATAAAAATGATCAAGCCTTCCATTCAGTTTTTCACAGGATGAGCATCTCTGTGGTGTATTTTTTACCTTAGGTGGCCGTGGACAGCAGTTGCCAGGGGTCTTTCGTGGTTACCCTCTCATATCCCCAAAATCAGGTACACATAATAAGTATTGCAGTTATCACTGCAGCAGCATGTAGAATAACATGAAATTCATATATGTGAAGGAAAACTAAAATCTTTTCTCTTAAATACAGGGGCAGGAAAATCAAAGAATCCAGCTAAAGCTGCAGCTAAATATGGTACAGTAAAGAAGTATTAGTTCAGGTTTGTAACTGGTATTTTGAATATGCATTAAGGAAATGATCTACTTTTTTGCTTGACCAGGGGGAGCTGGAAGAGGTGCACTAGGTCAAGGAGGCACTTTGGGGGTTGGGACTGAAAGACTCCCTGGAGGTGGAACTGGATTCGGAGGTGGTGTTGGAACAGGAGGTGGACCTGGATCTGTACCTGGATTCGGAGGTGGTGTCGGAACAGGAGTTGGACTTGGAACAGGAGGTGGACTTGGATCTGTACCTGGATTCGGAGGTGGTGTTGGAACAGGAGGTGGAGCTGGAACAGGTAAATTTACCATTTATTGAATAATCAATCATAAAATATAAATTACCATTTCTACAACTGTTTCAACGATGAATATCATATTATGTATTATATAATTTTTGGATCAATTTGCACAGGTTATATCGTGTTAAATACCTGTTCACTTAGACATGTTTTGTGCCATAGGTTATGGTCCTGGCTCAGCCAAAGCACGCAAATATGGTAAGAAATACTTTTTTAATTACAAATTATTTTCTTTTCTTTTACAAAATACTAATAAAATGAAATGAATCAACATCCTCTTTTATTCTGTCTGGTACAGGCTATGGACCAGGAGGAGTTGGACCAGGTGGTGCTGGTACAGGCTATGGACCAGGTGGAGTTGGGCCTGGTGGTGCTGGTACAGGCTATGGACCAGGAGGAGTTGGACCAGGTGGTGCTGGTACAGGCTATGGACCAGGTGGAGTTGGGCCTGGTGGTGCTGGTACAGGCTATGGACCAGGTGGAGTCGGACCTGGTGGTGCTGGTACAGGCTATGGACCAGGTGGAGTTGGAACAGGTGGTTTGGGTGGTGGCTATGGTACTGGTCCAATTGGGGCAGGCACTGTGTCAACTGGAGGACTTGGAGGCAGAGGACCAGGAGGAGTAGGCTCTGGAGGTAGTTTAAATCCAGGTGGTGCAGGCACAGGGTCGGGCGGTCTTGGTTATGGTCCTGGTGGTGCCGGATCTGGCTCTGGAGGTTTTGGGCCAGGTAGAACTGGTTTTGGGCCAGGTGGAACCGGAACTGGATTGGGAGGAACTGGAACTGGATTAGTAGGAACAGGAACAGGACCTGGAGGTTTGTTTGGAATTTTTTTAATTTTTTTTTATTATAATATTAATAGTTTGAAATTCAGTCTAAAACAATTGGATGCTTGATAATCAAATTATATTTTTTATTTCAGGGTATGATGCCAGTGCTAAAGCTCGTAAATATGGTAAGCATTGTTAGGAAATTGGTAAAAATGAATCTGTATAGCTGTGAATTTAATTGAATTCCACTGAACAAAGATTATCAGAAAAAAATACTGCTTTTTCTACAAAAGGTATGCTAAGTGGAGCCCTCGGAGGTGGTGCTGGTACAGGCTATGGACCAGGAGGAGTTGGACCTGGTGGTGCCGGTACAGGCTATGGACCAGGAGGAGCTGGACCAGGAGGTGCCGGTACAGGCTTTGGACCAGGAGGAGCTGGACCAGGAGGTGCCGGTACAGGCTATGGACCAGGAGGAGCTGGTACAGGCTATGGACCAGGAAGAGTTGGACCAGGAGGTGCCGGTACAGGCTTTGGACCAGGAGGAGCCGGTACAGGCTATGGACCAGGAAGAGATGGACCAGGAGGTGCCGGTACAGGCTATGGACCAGGAAGAGTTGGACCAGGAGGTGCCGGTACAGGCTTTGGACCTGGAGGAGCCGGTACAGGCTATGGACCAGGAGGAGCCGGTACAGGCTATGGACCAGGAGGGGTTGGAACAGGTGGTGCCGGTACAGGCTATGGACCAGGAGGAGCCGGTACAGGCTATGGACCAGGAGGGGTTGGAACAGGTGGTGCCGGTACAGGCTATGGACCAGGAGGAGTTGGACCAGGTGGCGCTGGTACAGGCTTTGGACCAGGAGGAACTGACTTTGGACCAGGAGGTAGGATATAAGCTAAGGATGGAAGATCAAATTTATATAAGAAGAAGTCAAAAATGTTGTGTTTAAACTTTACAGGTTATGCTGGTGCAAAAGCTCGCAAATATGGTAAGAAAGAACTCACAAAAATAATTTACTAAATGCACAATTATCTGTGATATTAACTGTAACATAAACATTTTCGTAAAATGTTTCCAAGTTTAATTTAACTAATAACCTGTGCTCTTTTTCATTATTACATTTCTTTCCTGTTGATTTTCAAGCTAGTGCTACTATTTCATGTTTTGTACTATTTTCTGATCATAATTCTGCTGTCTGCAGGTCTGCCTGGAGGTGGTGGAGGTACCCTGGGTGCAGGTGGACAGGGTGTTGGAATTGGAGGTGGGTTAGGTGACTTCTGATTATCAATACTTGACAAAAGAAAAAGCACCTCTGAAACTAAATGGAATTCTTTGATTCCTTTGATTAAGTGGAATGTTAAGATCAGCATAGTGCAATTGTAGTAGTTTTACTAAAAAATACAGAAACTAAAATAATATCTTGCGTTGTCGTGCAGAAATGTGTTTTGCAGAATTATTTTTATTCTAATAAAATTACAACTACTTTATGAGTAAATATTCTCAAAGCTATATCTCACAACAATTGACTCTTAACTAGGGCTACCCAGTGGAACTGGAGGACCATTTGGGACTGGGAGAACAGGATATGGACCTGGTGGATATGGACCTGGAGTTGGTTATGGACCAGGTGGAGGTTATGGAGCAGGACCCGGGTCTGGAACAGTTTCAGGTGTGGATTTAAATGTTGATTATATTTGATAAATGAAAACTTAATTTAAATCCTAGCTTGCAGAAATTCCTGAACTGAATTAATTATTCAATTTACAGGATATGGGTCAGGATCAAAAGCTGCAAAATATGGTATGAGAATGTCCTTTAATTTAAAAAAGAAAAACATGATAAAGGATGTTGGAGGAAAAATCTAGGAAAACTAATTTATTTTCATATGATCCTGGGGGGGGGCAGGTTCTGGTGGGGTGCTTGGAGGTGGAGTAGGACGAGGTGGTAAGTTTTATGATGATATTAAATCTCATAAACTCAACACAACGCAACACAGAGGATTTTGTATCTATGTCTTTTTAATGAGCCACACTTCTAAGCCTCTTGATGAAAGGGGGCTTTAGACCTGGCAATGGAAGTTTAAGTTAGTTTCAGTATTTGCATAGTAGCATCTAGATTTTCAATGTTTAGACCTGCAAACATGTAAAAGCCTTAATCACAGGTGTGTTAGGGTCATGTATGAGCTATTCCTTTATTGACCTCTATTGGTGGTTATTAAGAATTGCAGCAACAAGTGCCTTTCACCACACCTGGCCTGTAACTGAAACAATAAAAGAACAAATATGGGAGCAGAAATGCAAAAGGCAAGCTGAGTTGGGTAGTCATTTATAAAAAAAATATTGTACTAACCACACTGTTCTGTCATTTTATAATACCAGTAGTTTGAGACTTTTATGGGGAGCTTGAAATACGAGTAGATGGTGGAGTGTCCTCAATGTCTTGCCTTTTAGTACAACTCCCTCCATGACCTGCAATTCTAAAATGCAGATCAGTAAGGTATAACTTGGGTCATACCCATCCTACTTGATGATAACGACGGTGTAGGATATAAAATATGCTATTAGTTTGAAAATCAACAGTAGCAAGGTCTTTCCATGCGTTTGTTAGTTAGTTTAATGTGCATGTGAAGTCTGGGTTGTTCTTTCAAAGTTTGGATATATGCTAGAAAGTAACACCAGATCACGGGTTAGATGGCTAATGGCTTGTAAAGCACTTTTCTAGTCTTCTGACAACTCAAAGCGCTTTTTACAGCACAAGTCACACCTACCCTTTCACACCACATTGACACGCTGATGGCAGATGGTGCTATGTCAAGTGACCATCAGTTTTAACTAACAATTCTTACACATTCAATCATCACTGAAGCAGCAACAGGACACATCGACATGTGGCAAAAATTGCATTAGTTTTTTGAAAGACATTTTGCAAACCACTGGACTAGATAACAGTAATCCCTGTTAGGAAAAGGTAATTCTTTTGGTCAGCTATAATGACTGATCTCACATGTGCAGTATGTAAATGCTGTTTATCTGATAATTACAGTCAGAATATACGTAATATTTTTATTTGTTGTAATCCTTAGGGTATGGTACAGCTGGATCAAAAGCTGCTAAGTATGGTAAGAAGTTTTTTGACAAGACTCTGTGTCAAGTAAAACAAAGTGTGTACATGATTTATCTTTTTTAACTGAAAAATAAGACCTTGAGTTAGTACACTTTTTGAATTTACCACATTTTCTTTCATAATCTGTAGGACAACCTGGTGGAGTTGTACCCGGGGCAGGAACAGGGACCATCACTACAGGAGTAGGAAGAGAGCCTGTCATATCAGGGACAGGAGCAGGGACTGGCACAACAGGAGCAGGGACTGGCACAACAGGAGCAGGGACTGGCACAACAGGAGCAGGAGTCGGGATCGGAACAGCGGGAGCAGGGACTGGTGCTGCAGGAACAGGAACAGGAACAGCAGGAACAGGGCCCAGCACTGGTGTTTCATTGAACGGTACCAGTAGTGGCAGTGCAGGGACAACAGCGATACCCACAGGTAAGTTTCTTGTTTAAGGATTATTGATGCAAAGGAAATAATTTATTAAATTATCTGTGGGAGATAATCTCTCTGCTGGTTCAGGAGGAGGACTCGCGACCACAGGAGGAACACAAGCTCCGGCATCCGAAGGTATCTGTACAGTGATAGCACAAAGCAGTAGGTGAAACTAACACATTACACATTAGTGCTATCCAACAATACATATACAATACATATATATGTAATATATATATACTGTATTGTAATATAACAATACATATATATATATATATATATATATATATATATATATATATATATATATATATATATATATATAGATCATTTTACCTCCTATGTATCTAGAACTTTTGCGGCATCAAATATGACCATCTTAGCTAATCATTTATAAAATAAAGAATTTCTTCCTTTTAAAAATTCTACTATTCACAAATCTCTGACCTTTAATATTTTGCCCTTATTCCAGGTGACGGTGCTGCGGGCAGTGTGATAGAGGGGTCTGGAAGTTCTGCAGGAGAAGGTGCGTTTGAGTTGGCTGTATTCTTAGGAATCCGTCTTTACTAACCTTAAAGGCATGTGCAAATTTGGTGCATCAAAACAACTTTGAATATACAGAGATATGTCATGATTACAGAAAAAAAATACTTCTCATTCACACTTGGGTTTCTTTTTATCACCCTGTATATCCTGTTTAAAGAGGCTTGACATGGAAAACGTTTATTTCATAACTATTAAAATAGGAGGTACTGGTTTATCTGGGAGACCAGTGGGTGCAGGAGGCGATGGAGATGTACTGAGTGGCACAGGGATCCCCATTATTGGAGAAAAACCAGGTATTTCACTTCTTTAGGCAACATATTTAAAAGTTGAAGAAGAATGCTCTCTAAAATCTCTTTGTCTTTGTTGTGTTGTCCTCCATTTGAATGTTTTCTTCTTTTTATTTATTTATTTTCAAAACAGGTCTCAATGGGACGGCTGTACCAGGTATGTTTTATTTCACTTTGCATGATTATTACTAATAATTTAATACAGTGAAAACAGGTTGAACTGGTTATTAAAAGGGGCTCTTAAAATATATTCACACTGCATGGTTACACACCCTAAGGTTTCTCTTATCTCAAACAATGCGTGTACAACTTGGCTGAATACAGTTTGGTGTAATATTTATAAAATGTGTATTTATTGTTCCTAAGGGGACAAAATACTAAGAACAACTATGATAATAAATGCATAGGAGATATTATAAATGCTAAAATACTGTTGACATTTTAAGGGATAAATAAAAAAGACTGACAATTTTGATCTCATATTTATCAGACTCATTAGGAGTGGCCTGATAGTTACATTTATAAAGCTTAGAATAGTACAAACGTAAATATAAAGCCTGCATAATATGACTCTGTGGCAGATTCACAGTTGTGATCTACCTACCTGAGTTTTTTTAAACAATTGTGTCCAATATATATTCATGGAGTTAAACCTTTAAAAACATATTAAAAACAGTTCCTGACCTCTATAAACTTCTCAGTTAAGAATGCTTATTATTTCAGTAATGAAAAAATAAATGTTATTGGTACTTTGGACTGACCTGACTTGTTTTCTCTCTTCCTAAACTTCAGGTGGTACTGATGAAGGTGAGATTTCCAGCTACACACGTACAGTGCAAATCAGCTATTTAAAACATTCCTTCTCAATATGATTCATGTTATCACACACTCTTGGCAGGATTCTTGGAGATGAAATCAAAGAACATTCTTCTTATTTTAAATTAACTACCCTGCATGATTTTTAAGGTTCAAGTGGAATATTGCCTGGAGCCAAACCTTTAAAACCCCCAGGTGAATAAATTAAATTTCTATTTTATCTTAAAAAATAAACAAATCAGGTTTAGGGATACTAATAATGGCATGAAAAGAAAACAGTGGGAAGGCAAGTATTAAAATGTTTGACCTAAAACTTCTAAATCAGACCAAAACAGTTAAAAAGTTTCCTTACTGTCTGCAGGTGTCCCAAGAGGGGATACACCTGGTGAAGGAGATGGAGATGGGGGTCCTGATGGGGAAAGAAGTAGTACAGGAGGCACAGGTACAGGACTCGGAGGAGTAGGAGGGAGTCCTTCCGGTGCTGGTACACAGACAGGTGTTTCTGGTGGTGTAACAGGAACTGGAAGAGGAGACAGTCCTGCTACTGGAACTGGTGTTGGACAAGGAGGTGCAATCGCTGGAGTAGGGGGAACACCAAAACCGCCAAAAGGTGCCAACTCTTCCATCTGAGTGTACATTCAATTAAACATCTACCATGATCCATTATCTGCCGTTGGTTAGCAAATTTCCAATCCAGCCAATAATTGTGATTAATATACAGTTTGAACCAAAGTTATATTATAGAATATTTAACATATCTATTCATTGAAGAAAAATATTCAATCATATCTCTTAATTCTTCTAATGTAGTATATGGACCTGATGGTGCTGTACTGGGTACAGGAGAAGGTACTGGGGTAGTTGGAGGAGGAGTTGGTTTGGTACCTGGCACTGGTAGAGTAGGAACAGGAGCCACAAAACCTGGAAAAAGTGAGCCTACTACCAAGTTTTGGTCTCTAAAATCTTTGTGTTTTTATTATAAATCTATGTGCCTTTCCACCAGTCTTTTATGTTCACATGACCAATGTTATTCAACACAGGCTATGGCGCTGCTGGAGGTGGAATTTTACCAGGTGGAGGTATGTTAACTAACTGTAACCATACCCAATTTACAGCCAACAGATGACTGACATTTACCTTTAATTGAGACATTTTCATTTTCCTCTCAGGAATACGTTACCCAACAGGAGCTGGAGTAGGACAGGGAACAGGAAAACCAGGCAAAGGTAAGATACATTTTCACTGATATTCTCCTCTTTTAATGAAAAACATTTATTTTCTTCAACGATGAAAGAAGCTGAATGAAACAACTCTTTTGAACTTTCTGTCAGTATATGGGACTCTTGGAGATGGAGGACGGGTTGGGATTGGGCCTGGAGGATATGGAGCTGGTCCAGGAGGTTATGGTGTAGGCCCTGGAGGTTATGGGGCTGGCCCAGGTGGATATGGGGTGGGACCTGGAGGCTATGGAGGCACTGGTGGAGCTGGGACCCTCGGTGTTGGAAGTGGAAGTTTAGGTGGAGCTGTGGGAACAGGCCCTGCTGGAGTCGGTCGTGGACTGGGGGGATATGGTACTGGTGTGGGTCCTGGTGGTAAGTTGACCTCCATGGATCAAATTCAATCTAATATTTAAGTCTATTTTTATGTAAAAGGAACAGATGACATTTAATATTGCTTATATAGATTTCAAATACAAGTTAACTTATAGATATGCTCTGCCATCTAGGGTCAGGATATGGCACAAATCCAGGACTTGGTACTGGTACTGGCAAACCACAAAAAAGTAAGATAAGAAATGAAAGATATACAGAGTAAAACAAAAACAGAAATGTTTATCCAGAAGACAATAACTGGATCCATATGTGTTTTCAGGTTATGGAGGAAGGGGTGGTGGTACTGGCATTGGTCCTGGTGGCTTTGGTCCAGGTGGCTTTGGGCCTGGCAGTTCTGGTGTTGGTAGTTACGGACCAGGTGGAACAAGGCCAGGTGGTTATGGACCCAGTACTGCAGGGACAGGACCAGGTGCTGTCGAAACAAGGCCAGGAGGTTTTGGACCAGGCGGTGTTGGCACAGGACCAGGCGGCTATGGACCTGGTGGAGCTGGTGTCATTCCAGGTGTTTATAGTCTTGGAGGGCAAGGACTGGGTACAAGAAAGCCACCAAAATCAGGTACAGGGGTCATGTTTTAAGAACATAAACCATAACAGGTATTGTATTACGTAATACTTATTCATGCTGTTAACTTTCTGACAGGGTATGGATCATCGTCACTTGGGGGAGCTGGTTATGGGCAAGGTGAGGTATTCCTTTATTCCAGCTCTTCAAAATGAGATAATATATAATCCTATATAATGCAACAAAGAACAAGGAGTTCCTTTACATCAAGTTAGCTTGCTAAAGCGATGAGGCAGGCATAAAGATGCACTACAAGAATGCTTTCTGGAGAAAAGCCAAGTTGGGATCATTTTAAAACTGTTCAATTATTCATGATGCAGGGGTTGGACCTGGTGGAACAAGTACTGGACTTGGCAGATATGGACCTGGGGGCATTGGACCGGGAGGTGTCATCACTGGGACTGGAGGCTTTGGACCAGGTAGTGCTGACACAGGTAGAGGAGGTGGGTTAGGACCAGGTGGTGCTGGCACAGGAACAGGAGGCTTTGGACCAGGTGGTGCTGGTACAGGAACAGGAGGCTTTGGACCAGGTGGTGCTGGTACAGGAACAGGAGGCTATGGACCAGGTGGTGCAGGACTTGGAACAGGAGGCTTTGGACCAGGTGGTGCCGGCACAGGAACAGGAGGCTTTGGACCAGGTGGTGCTGGCACAGGAACAGGAGGCTATGGACCAGGTGGTGCAGGACTTGGAACAGGAGGCTACGGTCCTGCAGGGCAAGGATTTGGAAAAAGAAAACCATATAAATCAGGTAAACAATGTTAAAACACACTTCATATGCAACAATTCATTCCAACAGCAGAGATACTGTTTTGGTTCTACTGTTGAATGTTTTATACGATACACTTTATTATCCCCTTGGGGAATAGTACAGGTAATTAGTTATGTCACAGACATGGCAGTATGAAGGAAATAATTATAACCAATGCCTATTTTCTAGGTGGCATAGGTACAGGAAGTGGCAGATTTGGGCCCGGTGGAGTTGGACTAGGTGGGGGCAGCACAGGAACAGGAGGAGGCTTTGGACCAGCTGGAGCCGGCACAGGAACAGGAGGAGGTATTAGACCAGGTGGTGCCGGCACAGGAACAGGAACAGGCTTTGGACCAGGTGGAGCCGGAACAGGAACAGGAGGAGGCTTTGGACCAGGTGGGGCCGGCAGAGGAACAGGAGGAGGCTTTGGACCAGGTGGAGCCGGCACAGGAACAGGAGGAGGCTTTGGACCAGGTGGAGCCGGCACAGGAACAGGAGGAGGCTTTGGACCAGGAACAGGCTTTGGACCAGGTGGAGCCGGCACAGGAACAGGAGGAGGCTTTGGACCAGGTGGAGCCGGCACAGGAACAGGAGGAGGCTTTGGACCAGGAACAGGCTTTGGACCAGGTGGAGCCGGCACAGGAACAGGAGGAGGCTTTGGACCAGGAACAGGCTTTGGACCAGGTGGAGCCGGCACAGGAACAGGAGGAGGCTTTGGACCAGGTGGAGCCGGCACAGGAACAGGAGGAGGCTTTGGACCAGTGGGCCAAGGATTAGCAAAAAGGAAACCACCTAAATCTGGTATGTTATGATAAAATGTAAAACAAATGGGACCGTGTTAACCAAATATTCCTCTCCCAATTAAAATGCTTATTTGATTTTTGAATCTATTATCTTAGCTAGAGTAAGTAGTTGGCATAATCTTTGTTGACCTCAGAACTTCTCCCATTATTTCAGTTTATGGAGGAGCTGGATATGGATCAGGTGGGACTTTAAACAGATCAAGGATGGTTATTATCTTTTTACACATTTAAGTGGTACGATATTATGCTTACATATTCAGATCTGCTTCCTATTAGGAATATTAGGAGGAGGTACAGGAGTTGGTCCTGGCAGAGGTGGAACTGGAGGCTATGGCCCAGGAGGTGCTGGAACTGGCAGCTACGGCCCAGGAGGTGCTGGAACTGGAGGCTATGGCCCAGGAGGTGCTGGAACTGGAGGCTATGGACCAGGAGGTGCTGGAACTGGGCCCGGAGGCTATGGACCTGGAGGTGCTGGAACTGGGCCTGGAGGCTATGGACCAGGAGGTGCTGGAACTGGGCCCGGAGGCTATGGACCAGGAGGTGCTGGAACTGGCAGCTACGGCCCAGGAGGTGCTGGAACTGGAGGCTATGGACCAGGAGGTGCTGGAACTGGGCCCGGAGGCTATGGACCAGGAGGTGCTGGAACTGGCAGCTACGGCCCAGGAGGTGCTGGAACTGGAGGCTATGGACCAGGAGGTGCTGGAACTGGGCCTGGAGGCTATGGACCAGGAGGTGCTGGAACTGGGCCTGGAGGATATGGACCTGGTGGCCAAGTAGCAGGAAGCAGGAAGCCTCCTAAGTCAGGCTATGGATCATCATTGGGCGGAACAGGCTTTGTACCAGGTAAATTTCTCCACTGACCCATATTAATCTTTTATTAAGGTTCTGATATTTTCTGAGACAAATTCTCACCAGCCATTCAGTTATACTCTCAAGCAAAAGCTGCCACCATGGCTCAGCTGTAGAATACCAAGTAGAATCACAAATAACTAAAGTATTGGCAAAGACCTGTTTTTATTGAACGATTTTACATTTAATTTGTATTAAGAATCAAAGTAAACATTAAGATATTCCAATATTATGACCGACTGGATATTTGAAAAAATCAAGAAACTTGAAACTTTTTCCCTTTGGTTAATTTGGTATGTAAACCAGCCACCAGCGTCCTGTTGACTCATTTGTATCTTAGTTGTTGAATGACTCTTTACTGAGATAATGACCTAACTGACATATGTATCCATCATGCTACCTGACTTCATACAGCTTATTAACTTTAGTCCCATCTATGGTAATCAGGTGGTGCAGGTGGTGTGGTGCCCGGAGCAGGTACAGGAGGTATCTCTGGAGGGGCAGGCAAGTTTCTAGTTTTTAAAGGAAAACCGTGTCTATGAGATGATTCTGTGAAATATGTAATACAAAACTGAAATAGTAAAGCCTTACCTCTGCTATAAGTATAAGCTGTGTCTAATGGTTATCCTCTGTTGATTTTAAGTTCTTAAGTTGACATTTATACTTACCTGTCCAGGAAATATAGCAGGAGGAACAGGGGTTGCTGCAAGAACAGGCCAGGGAGTAGGAGGAGCAGGTGGCTTACCAGGTCAGTTTAAACAGAGCACTGATACAGTAAACAACAATAACTAAATAAGAGTATTTATATTATTACATTTGATATTATAGGGTGAATTCTGTCCTGCCAACTGTTGAGAGCTAACTAATTGTAATGTTAAGTGATGTAATGTGTCAATTGTTCCAACAGGGGGCGTTGTCCCTGGATATGGTGGGACGGGGGGAGGAACCTATCCAGGTAAGATAGAATCACATACAGTAATCACATTTTTCTTCCCTCTTTTCTTACAAGTTAAAAGATTCAAAATCGAAAAATAAAAACTATGATAAATATTGTACATACCTAAAATTTGACAAACACACAATAACTGCACTTAAAGTAAGAAGCAGGAAGTGTTTCTGTTTTGAGCATCAAGCTTTGAATGGTAAATATTTGTTAGAACATATTCTCACTTCTTTCGTCACAGAAATAACATAGAAAATTAGACCAATTTCAAGATTAACAATTGTTTATTATGACTTTATTTCTTGTTATTATTCCCTAGGATATGCCGGGGCTGGACAAAAAAGTAAGAAAACTCATTGTACTCTGGGATAAACATATTAGTCGGTTTCATAACACATATATGAATGGCATTCACACATAGACATACTATATGCACATGGCACATACTGACATTATGATCCAAATGAGGTCTCTCAAATATTTGGTCCATGATTATTAAGCTTCTAATATTTATGTAGAGGTTTTCAATCACACGTGAAATAGTACATTCTTTATCTATCTTTAAATGATCAAATCACTAAGTAAAAAATAAATAGAAAGGATGATCATTCTGACTTTTTTTCTTTACAAAAAAGTAGTTGTGTGTGTCCTTAGAATTTAGAGTGCTTGATATAATTGTTATGTGATGTATATCTGGTCATATCTGCAGCATAATGTGTTTATTCATGTCCTTTAGCAAAGGCACAGAAGGCAGCCAAATACGCAGCCCTGCAAGCCTTTCTGGGAGCTGGAGGCCAAAGAGGTGAACACAAAATGTGTTGTTTTAAAGTAAATTGTATCTATAATTATCAATGTAATTTAATGTTGAAATAAACTGAAGATCATTTATTGTTTAAATCATTACCATAAACTAGACTACTCATACCAAGTTCTTAAAAGTGATGCAATACTTTATGAGTTGAATGATGAGTCTGCTCTGCATTGCAAAAACATATCATACAAAGTTTACAAAAATACACAACTTGAATAAAAGCAAACATCACACTTTTCATTTCATGTGGAATTCAATTCTCCCGTCATTAATCTTCTAGTTTCAAGCAAAGGTGCATACATGATAGAGCTTTGTTGCAATTGTTTCCTTTTAAACTAACCATGAAGAGTGCTATTATTTACTTCACTTCAACAAAACTACCTTTAGTTGCTTTTTTTTTATAATTTATCACCTTTACTCTTGATCAAACTTGTCTTAAATAGTTACAAAGGACTGTGCAGACTTGCTTTTAGATTTTGTCATAATCAAGCCACAAATACAGAAACTATTAAACTGACTGTTGGAACTGAGATCATGTCACTAGCAGCTGTTTTTAAATGCTGTGGTTTAAAATGGATTAGTTCTGTGTTTTCCAGTGTAGTTTTTACATAATTCATGTTTTTTTTTTTTTTTAAATTGAAGAGTAATTGACTTTGTTCTTGTGTGTAGGCACCGGCTGTCAGGGTAAATACTGTGGCCGAAGGAGGAAGTGAGAGGCCCCTACACAGGAAGTGACCTCATTAAAACAACGGTGGTGCTATTGCAATTTCACAGACTGTAAATGTCTTAACCTGCGATCGAAGCTAAAGCTTCAACACATTCCAGATGTTACACTTTTGTTTTGTTATTATATAATGGTCTCTTTCAAAAAGAGCATTGGTTCTCAACCTTTAAGGGTCTTTGTGATTCCTCAAAATCAGCTGATTGGTTTTGTTGTAAGGTGTGTTATGCATGTTGTCCATTTTATCATCTCCCAAGAGAGATCACAATTCACAGTAGGATTGGATCGGGACACGTTTGTAATAATTTTTCGCTCCCTCAATCACCTTGTTACTCTTCCAAGGACCGGATTAACCAGGCTGAGAACCAGTTAAATGAAGGATGACGCTTTCTTTTTAATTTGTGATACAGTGTGGTGTTCATTTTATATATTGAACATCATGTTTTGTTACACATGTTCCTGTGCAAGTATCCCCATGAATCCTCTGGGTGAACATTGCTAACAAGGACACCCTCAGGGTAGCTCCTTCAGACCTGTCTGCATGCTGACACAAGGTTTAAAAGTCTCCAATGCCACACTTTTATCCAGTGTGACTGGATTTGAGGTCTGCAGAAGGAGATATACATTTGATTAATTCACTGTTTTTAGCTCTTGCATCAATGTGCTAACACTTGAATGTTATATTGTGTAACTGATCTTATCTAGACAAAGGACTGGCAACTTCTGTTTTGGTGGTATTGTGAACAAAAGGGAGGATTTTTTTCATCGTGTGGTGTTTGGATTGGTCATGATCTGATCCTTGAAAAGAATTATAACTTTAGGCTTCAGAAGTATGAAAGTTAAAGATGTAGGTTCTCAGATGTTAACACTTCATTCAGAACACAAAGGCACTGTTTTAAAGCGTTATAACACTAATGTTTATAAGTGTTAACTTTGCATTTTTTCCCATCAAAATGGTGTATTTTTTATTATGGTGTGGCTTAGACCTGACTTTTTGTTGTTGAGAGACACAATTTAGCTAAATGTGAGTTATTATGATAAGAACATTTTAATGACATCCGAAAAGCATTGATTACTGTTTTGTTTTACTTATTTTAGCATTGCTGGTAAATTGTTCACTTTTGCAAGCCTTTTAAATTATGACAAAAAGCAGAAAAAGATGAGTGCTATCTGTTCAGAGTAATTTCTTTCACAATTTTAAGTGCAGTAATACAGTATTACATATTTGAGTCATTTTGTGTGTTTTTACACTTTTGTATTACAATAATGAAAGATACATGCTTTGTCCTTGATGCTTGCTCATTCACTTTGAGCTCACGTGTGCCTCTGTCATGTACCTCATCAGGTGTTTTTAACAGCTGTGTTCTTTACGTGGCTCAAGAAAATGATGCATTGTTGTACACATTCAGATGATGTTTTCTGAAATAAAGAAATGATTGATAGATTTTTTTTTCTCCGTTAGTTGATATTCAAAAGAAATTAGAATAATTGACTGTGGTGCACATGCATGCACAAAATAAAAAAAACAAAGAGAGTTTTTGGCATAAGGCAAGAGGTACTTTCAGAGGCAGATGTTGGTTGTATATATTAATCTATTGTGGCATGCTGATAACCACAGTGAATCGAAAAAAGGAAACAACAAAATTCAGTCTAGGCTAAAGTTATTGCAGCAGTCAAGTGTTGTCTTCTTAGTGACTAAAATAGAGGTTAAGACAATACATAATGTTGTTTTTTATACATAGGGTGTTATGTTGTAGTAGAGCTTTATGCAATAACTTAACCAATAGATCCTGATACATAATGAGCATGAACAAATTTACTCTAAACCACAGAAGAAATTAATGAAAAGATCAGACACACTTGCTCTCACGGCTAAATAATTAGAAGCAGAGTCGTTCTCACATAAATTATCTGAGGTTATCCAAACTACTAAACAGTATTACTGGTTGTGTCTGAGCTGTGTCCAATTCTCATGTCTTAACTCTGTCTTTGTTTGCTGTGGGTGATGAATGTGCTTCACTGTGAGGTCAGTAGAGTGTAGTAATTGGGGCATTCATAAAGAGATTATGCCTGTGCTAATGGGAATAGAGCTCGTTTCCAAACACACAGACTCTCTCACGCCACTCAACACACTTACTGCCTCAAGGAAACACTCACTGGGGTTCATACTTGAGGCTTTTTCAGTTAACACTGACAGTGTTCGTGCGCAGACGAGTGTAACTGTATCCCGCAGAGTTCTACATACTAGAGGTAACAGGAGAAGGTCCATGGTGCAGAACTTCTATACTGAGATTGGTCCTTTTCTGGGCAGCCAGCAGAGGGAGACTGGCCAGCTGGTGTCAGTAGTTTGGAAGTTTTTCTCACTCAGCTACTCTGCACATTAGAGACAGAACTTAGATGAACAGGAAGCCTGTGAGTGAGCGAGAGAGAGAGAGAGAGGGAGGGGTGGAGGGCAGAAAAAAAGACTACGCCTGCTCCTGGTCACAACAGAATACATGTAAGATCTGTTTATGAGCACATGCAGCCAACAAGCTCTCTTCTCATCTGGATGAAGTGTTTCAGTCGTCTTATCTGTGAAGTAACGGAGCAGAATGTCACGACGGGACCAGAGGTTTCGGAGGGGAATAAAAGGACGGTAAGAGTAAATGTCATTAGTTGGTGATGATATATGTTTGTGTGAGTAACAGCGACTGAAAGCGAAAGAAAGAGAATTGAAGTGAATTGTGGCTCAACATTTTCTGTACTTCCTCAAAAAGAGTCTTGAAACTACAGAGTCTTTCTACTTTCACCAAAAATATCTGGATGTGTGCAGTAGTTTCTGAAATCAAAACAATAACAGGAAAAACTGTTAAACTACTACCCTGGCAGCTTTTTACAAGGCTTCACTACAACTCGTGTCTAAGACTTCTTGTTTCTTGTTTTTATGGATGACCATTTGTTACAAATTCAACAACTACTATTTCAAAAGTCTATGTAAATAATGTCAAGAAAATAATATTAAAACCCACAGTATATCAAGACCACAACTGAGACAATATCCTTGAAATATCGTTGAAATAACCGACACAATACCATTTGAAAGCAAATGTTTCTGTTTAAGATCTTCTTGTTCTAAAAGGAAACCCAGCAGGACAACAGACAGAACAGGGAGGAAACCATGGTAGGAAACTACGTCATCCGATTCTTAACACTTGACCTGAGTGAAATGTTCAGACATCATGTTTGTTTCATCCACAGCAGGTGCTGTTTTGTCCCCAGTGTTTCTGCATGTGACACAGGAAGAGAGCTTAGAAAAGAAAGGATGTTCATGGTTGAAAAGAGGGCTCATGAGGGACATACTCTAAATGTGAGGACATGTGTGGAAGAAGGAAACAGAAAGAGGATAATAATTCTGGATATGTTTCCTACAGCTAATTCCAGGGTTTTCTCTATAACAGATGTTAAGTTGGATTCACAGATGTGAAGCTGGAAGGTTCTACATCCTTTGCCAGCAGTACAATAACAAAGACAGGAGGTCCAAAATAAAACTGCAGCTGCCTGATAGTTTTCTTACTTAATTATTTCCTCAGAAAATGACTACTGGAAAGTCTAACAGATTCCTTAGAACAGTACTTCCTATAGTGTGATCTACACATACTGTATTTGCATGGACTAGAGATTACTGTAATGATGTCAGATAACCATAGACACTCTCTATCCACATTGACAAAGAAAGTGATTATACTCTCAGTTCATGTCAGTATTTGCATTAAATATTGCATACATATTTTTTACATAACCAACAGCAGCAAGAGCTGTCTTTGGAATCAATTAGCAAGCTCTGATCTGAAAACTAGGAAGGTCTTGTCAGCTAGGCGGGTGAATCGAAACTTGCTTTGAGTAGATATTGATAGTGGTTCATTGTCAGGCTTTGTTTGGACTGAGCACTTAAGATTCATTCTCTGAGCACCAACAGGAGAGGCAGATGACGTGTGTCACACCCTCTGTTAATTGCAAGCTGAAAATCTGGGGCGGGATTTTCACAAAAATCCAAGCTTAAAAGAGTCTGAATACGAAACTGCAGCAGAACAAGCTCTGATCTGAAAACTAGGAAGCTGAAGCTTCAGCGTGGCCACAGAGCCCGGGCATCCACGACTACTGCTTTGCCTATTTTCTCTGGTCATCTGCTAAACGCAACATGTGCTACAAAGAATCTCTGTCATTCATGGGAACAGGAATAAACACGTCTGTCATAGACAACGAAATCTTAACAACTTGTCTCTGCTTAAGAAAGCCTCTTCTACCCACCCTTCATTTACTTTTGGCCTCTGGAACTGTCAATCTGCTGTGAATAAAACTGAATTCATCCAAGCACTTGCAAAAATGTCAGACATTCAGGCACTTGCCCTTACTGAAACCTGGATCCGCCCAGAAAATACAGTCACACCAGCTGCTCTTTCTGTTGACACAGTGTTCTCACACACACCCCGTTCTGTTGGACGTGGAGGTGGTACAGGTATCCCAATTTCTAATACCTGGAAATTCAATAAACTCTTCCCACTGAGCAACAACTCCTCATTTGAATATCACACAATCTTGGTTACTGCTCCTATTAAAATGTACATGCTATCATTTACCGCCCACCAGGGTGTAATGTGAATGATTTTGTTGTGGAACTGGACATGCTACTCTCAGAAATCCCTGATGATGGAACACCATGGAGACATGAATATACACACTGATAAAGCCCAGGCAACAGACTTCCTTGCTCTCCTATCCTCATTTGACCTCACGCACGTCCCAACTCCTCCTACCCACAAAGCAGCACTCTTGATTTAATCCTGACTCGGAACTGCTCTACAGCAAACCTGACTCTCACCCCTCTACATCTATCAGATCACTTCTTTATTCAATTCACAATCTTCTTGCCGGAACTCCCTCAGGCACACCCACAAATGGTGTCATACCACCAAAACATGCGATCGCTCAAGCCAGCTCAGCTGTCTAACGAGGTAATGGCTGCCATGCCTGCCCAAAAGGTCTGTACCGCACTCTCTACAGACAAGGCTACAGACATACTCTGCTCCACACTAGCCTCATCTCTGAACAAGCTCTGCCCTCTGCTGTCCAAACCCACTCGCAAAACCCACCCTAGCCCATGGCTCACGGAAGTCATAAGAGAGCAAAAAGCAGGGCTGAGGTCAGCAGAGAGAATATGGCAAAAATCCAAACAGTCCGCTGACCTCAATGACTATAAGCAAAGACTTGTCTCATTCTCCTCCAGCCTGAAAACGGCCAAGACAACATATTATCAGAACAAGATATGCAATGCCACAGATACAAGATGCTTTTAACTCACTGCTTTAACCACCTCCTCCTCCACCCTCCGATCTGTTCACACCAGACATGTTTGCCTCATATTTTACTGAAAAGTTTGCAACCATCAGTAACCAGTTTTCTGAGCCTGACCAACTCAGCCCAAAGGCACCAACCAAAAGTGCCTCACTTGACTCATTCTCCTCTCTGACTGAGGATGAAGTATCTAAGCTTGTGCTAGACTCTCGGCCCACCACCTGTCCTCTGGACCCAATACCATCAAGCCTCCTGCAGACCATTTCCTCTCCGCTTAATGCTGCACTTAAGCATATCATCAACTCCTCTCTGTCAACGGCTGTGTTCCCCACCGCATTCAAGCAAGCTTGGGTCACCCCTCTGCTCAAAAGACCCACACTAAACCCAGCCCAGGTTGAAAACTACAGACCGGTTTCTCTTCTGCCCTTTCTGTCAAAAATATTTGAGCGCACAGTCTTTAAGCAAGTCTGAGTTCCTGTCCAGAAACGATCTGTTTGACCCAAATCAGTCAGGCTTTAAGCGGAGCCACTCTACTGAAACTGCTCTACTGTCAGTAACAGAATCGCTACGAGCTGCCAGAGCTGCGGGTCAGTCCTCAGTTCTATTAATGCTAGACCTGTCTGCTGCCTTTGACACAGTCAACCATCAAATCCTCCTTTCCACGCTCTCTGAACTTGGCATCTCAGGATCTGCCCTCAGCTGGTTCGTGTCCTACCTCTCTGGGGATCCTTTAGAGTGTCGTGGAAGGGAGAAGTGTCCAAAGCGCACAGCTTATCCACAGGGGTACCTCAAGGGTCAGTGCTTGGTCCCCTTCTCTTCTCCATATACACAAGCTCACTTGGTTCAATAATCCGCTCTCATGGCTTCTCATACCACTGCTATGCTGACGATACCCAGCTCTTCCTGTCATTTCCACCAGACGATGTTACAGTCTCTGCAAGAATCTTATCATGCCTTGCTGATAGCTCTAAATGGATGAATGAACACCACCTTCAACTCAATCTTTCAAAGACTGACCTCCTTGTCATCCCAGCCAGTCCCTCTATGCAACCACAGATCAATATCCAGCTTGGAACAACCAAACTCATGCCCACAAAGTCTGCCCGGAACCTGGGTATCAGCTAACTTTTAAGGTTCAAGTAGCCTTGATTGCCCAGTCATGTCGATTTGCCCTGTACAGCATCAGGAAGATCAGACCTTACCTGTCAGAGCACACTACACAGCTCCTGGTACAGGCTCTTGTGATATCACGCATCGATTATTGCAACTCTCTACTGGCAAGTCTTCCTACATGCACTATCAAACCTCTGCAAATGATACAAAATGCAGCAGCACGACTGGTCTTCAACCTTCCTAAAAGAGCACATACACTGGCTCCCAGTTACTGCTCGTATCAAATTTAAAACTCTGCTGCTCACTTACAAAACAGTGACAAAAACGGCTCCTCCTTGCTTTAACTCTCTCATCCAGGTCTACACTCCCTCCTGCCCACTACGCTCTGCCAATGAAAGGCGTCTGATCCAACCTTCACAACAGTGTCCCAAGTCTCTGACTAGACTCTTCTCCTCTGTTGCCCCCCGGTGGTGGAATGAACTTCCAAACTCCATTCGATCTGCAGAGTCCCTCTGCATCTTTAAGAAAAAGCTAATTCATGAAAGACCCAGCTCTTTCATGAATACCTACTAACTTAATGATGATGGTTTTGATATCATTGATGATGATGATGGTTGTCACGATTGTTTTTGTTTGATAACGATGACTTATAAGATGGTTTCTATACTGATTAGAGCTCTCAAGAAATGCTGTCAATGTTGTGCTTTGCCAATGTGCAATGCCTGTCAGCACCTGTGTGTCCAGTCGGACTCAAAGCTCTTACTGACATTGTTCCCTTTTTTCTAGATCCTTGCTTGTGTTGTACTTACTCTCTGATGTACGTCGCTTTGGATAAAAGCGTCTGCTCAGTGAATTGTAGAATTAGAAAAATAACAAACAAAAAACAAACAGGGTAATCTGCCAAGTACAATAGCAAAGCCTCCACTACTACTGATATTGTCCAAAAATAAAATAAAAAGTGGGACATTTACACCCACTTTCATTGATATAAAAATATCAAGAACTGCACATATGACATAATGTATTGTTTTCTCAGTATAATGTCATAAGGAAGTTATGTCCTTTATACCTCATTCTCAATCCTTAGGCAACCTTTTCATCCCCCATTGTAAGAACAGCATGGCATTTACAGTTGTGAGAGAGGAAACATGGAACTGTACTCTCTGCAGGAAGTCACCTCCCACTCTGGCTGTAGTGTCAGAGAGATAAGGAAGCAGCTTTTTACTCTATATTGGTATTACCCTGCATCCAGTCTAATTCAGGATACCACTGACCATTTCTGTGTGAAGGTTTTAAAGAACTGGCAGTGAACATGCCTGCAAAGAACGAGTGGTTTTTATAACGCTAACTGTTGAAATCTGCTCACTTTGTTCACTTCTCTTTTGTGACCTCTGAGTTGTTTTGCCCGTGGGAAACTAACATTAAGTTATGGCACTTTTGTGAAAACATGTGACTGACCATTGGCCCTACATGAGTATCTTTTCCGTAAGAAGCAGTTTGAATCGCTTTCTGTTAGAGCAGTTCAAGATCTTTAATGCCTCTTTTCAAAGCCATAAATAAAGATAACTGTATTTCCTCCAGGGGACGTGCTAGAGAAACACAAGCTGCATGATATGTTGTCAGCCTCAACTTTGTGACTAAAAAAAGCATCACTGGGTCAAACATGTCAAGGAAGGAGAGTTGGTATCAGTGACCGAAATACTAGAGCTGTAGTTCCACCAGGATCTGGTGATACATCTATTCTACGCTTAATGAGAGATACTTTTTGATGTTACAAAGTCTGCCACAATATGATTTTTGATTTATTTCAATTCCGGGGCCTGAGATTCAAATGAGCTTTATCATATGCCAAATTTACATGATCATTACTTTTATATGAAATAAGATCTGTAAATCTTACTTCAGAGCTCTTTCAGACATTCAAAAAAAAGTATATTTTTGTTAATAAAAAGAAAGACATAGTGACATTCCATTTTAAGTCATACTAGCAAACACGAGTATTTATTGTTGGATTGATGTTAACATTTACAAAACATGTATTTGCTATTAGACTTTGAAAAAAAAAGATCTTAAAGATGATGACGTGGAGTTTTTCATTTGCATAAATGCTATTAAAAGGTTTATCGTTGTAATAAAACAGGATAAATTGAGAACAATCAGGCAAGTGATCTAACTGATCCCTTGTGTGATGATCTGGCAGGTCAACTTTCCTTGTCACACATGTTAGGTAACTAATTAGGCTCACGTTACTTTGCTAAAACAACCCTGTGGCATATCTATCGTCTTCAAACCTAAACCTTAACCTACATCTTCTAAGTTCATCTCACGACCAACTCACTATTTCACTCTCTTTCCCCTTCCTCTCATCTCTTTAGGTGTTGTGAGTGTAGCTGCATCCTGTCCCACTGGTACTATGAAAAAGAGGGGCAGCTTTACTGTAAGAAGCACTACTGGGCCCGTTATGGAGAGCACTGCCACGGCTGCAACGAGAGCATTACAAGTGGACTCATTATGGTAAACTTCATAATTAGGTCAAAGAAATGTAAAATCTGTCCTTGTTACCTTAAATAAGGCTGTGGATAAGAGGATAATTAATGAATTAATGACCAGCTCTTACCATCCAATCTAATTTGCTGACTAAGGTTTAAGTAGAAGTGGTCACACCGTACAGTTAAAGAACCAAAAAACAATTTCTGGCAAGTCACCATAGCAGATAACCCTCCATTCTGTGTATAAGCTCACTTGCTCCAAAACATATTAACTCGGACAGAAACAGATTGATTGATAGTGGGTGACCAGCTCGTTTTAAAAACAGCTGCCTTATTGATCATTTAAAGGGACCAAACAGATATCCATAGTGTAACATTGTTATTATAATAGTCTCCGCTGGATCCAACAGAATATACTGAATCTCAGCATGCATGCTACACCAACTATTACTATACAAAGGTGGAACGTCTTCCTTTGTCTTGGTTTCTTCCTGGTATGAGACTAAATGCCTATTTTCTTTTAACTCCAAAAAGGATATCCTTTGAAAACATCCTGATACTGTAGGCATTGATGCAGGAATGCCGGAATATTAAAAAAACAAACAATACAATTCTCTTTTCCTTTCATTATCTTTTACAACAAAGTCTCCCTGTACAAACAGGTTGCTGGAGAGCAGAAGTACCACCCTGAATGCTTCACTTGTGAGAGCTGTGAAATGTTCATCGGTGATGGAGACACCTACACACTTCTGGAACGCACTAAACTTTATTGGTAAGTTTGAAGCTGATTAGAAAGTATTTCAGCAATTGATCTTTACAACCACATGTTTGAGACAAACTAATGTGTAGCTCAAACATTAGTGGAATTGAAAAGGTATAATTACTAATAAAAATATTATTTTTGCTTTAAAAATCATCTTTATTTTTTTTTTAAATTTGCCTATTCTGCAGTGGTCACTGTTTCAGTCAGGGGGTAGTACCAACTACAAGGTCAACTTCTCCACTCAGCAAGAGTCCCCATAGGGTCGCACTGGTGTCTTTCCCTCCCCATGAAGGTGGCCGAGGAGGCTTGGCTTTAGCCACTGACCTCAGCCAAGAGAAGGGTCTTCTTGTCACTGTGACAGGGTGAGTCTCTGAATGTAGTACATAACAAAATGAGAGTTTTACATTTGAGTAGTGCAACTTAAGTCCAACGCAACCCCAAAAAAGATAAAAAAATAGCCAGGCTCATCTGCTTTTTTACATAGACTGTAGGAAATTTGATGCAACCTATGCGTCTTAAAAACACAGCTAATACAGCTGCACATTCATCTGTATTAATTCTAATGGCTAACAGGGTACAACTCTACTGCAGCTTTGTAAGTTATGGTACCATTTGATATAAACCAGTCAATTAAGCAGGACATGCTTCAGAGTTTCCACCATTTGACTGAAAAATTGCTTGCAGACCTGTTAATGAAGGCAGCAGCAGACCTGTTCCACCATTTGACTGAAAAATTGCTTGCAGACCTGTTAATGAGGAGGCCCAGCAGAGCCTATCCAGCCTCTTGTCCCCACATGATCACTTTGGGCTTTACAAATACAAGTTGGTGACAGCAACAATGCTAAACCTAAGGGTTGAACAGCAGGCCACAATACCAATGGGTCATTTCCTAAACTCAATCACTAAATGTTATTCTTCCTCAGGTTAGACGCAGCTGAGCTCAGCCCTGACCTGCTATCCTCTATCCACACTGGCGACCGAGTATTAGAGGTCAACGGTGTGCCTGTCAGCAGCATTTCAAGAGAAGAAGTGAGCCTCAATCAGTCCTTCATTTGAGCAATAATACAAAGAGAAGCAGTTGAACATCCTTGCATTTACAAAACAATATTGGTGAGAGACATGTGTGGTGAGGTGAGAGAGAAAAATACAAATTCATTTAAGGACAACATTATATCTCCTTCTCTAGATGAACTATGTTATTCAGGACACAAGCAGACCGTTGCAGCTAACCATTGAACACAACCCACATTCAACTGACAGCCTACTTCCCTCAAACAATGCCAAGGAAGATGTCAGCTGTCTTGATCCCTGCGTCCACAACAAACTTAATTCAGCCCACAAACTTCCGAGTCTCGAGGAAGAACCAAGTCAAGAAGAGGAGCCAGATGTACCAAGCAACATGAGCCTCTCCCTGCCTCAGCAACAAGGGCCAAGGGGAATACGATCCAGACATATTCAGTAAGTGCTGACTCTTGTTTGACACTTTTCATTCTTCTCCTCTTTTATTCTTCAGGTGTATATTTTCTTCCACAGGCGCAGCTGTAGTATAGACAAATTTCCATTGTCCCCTGGAGCACTGTCACTTTTATCCAATAGAAGGGACATGGTTCGCTCAGAGTCTCTACGCGTAGACCCTGGAGATCGGACCCATCGCATCTTCAGACCTTCAGACCTCATCCATGGAGAAGTACTAGGCAAGGGCTTCTTTGGACAGGCTGTCAAGGTACTGAAAAAACATTTTTCATAGTTTTTCCGGTCTCATGGTTAGAGCTGACATAGTTGTCAGTTTTTCGTCATATTTCTTTCAATCAGCATTGTGATCAACCTGTTGCTGTTAAGGTAACGCATCAGGAGACAGGGGAGGTGATGGTGATGAAAGAGTTAATACGGTTTGATGAAGAGACACACAAGACTTTCTTAAAGGAGGTAAGACCAAGTGATTTCTTTAGGTAACAAGTTATGCAAGATATCATCACGCTCTCACATTTACCAACCTGACTAGGTCATTGTTATAGAGAATACTAACCAGCATGATATGATAGTCATACTTCACATTCAATCTAATGGTTAAGTTATGGCTCGATACTATATATATTATACACTTACCTATACCAGTACCCTTAGTACCAGCAAAGTGTATTTTGATACTTTCTTTTAATTTTTTTAAATAATATTTTTAATGGAAGCAATTATGAGCATCAGTTGGTGTCAACTGATTTCAAGTTGTAACAATTGGTACCACAACTGCACCTTTTCTAGATGATTTTCAGGCAAATATTTTGAAAACACAGATAACATAAATCTAATCAATAAGGTTTTAACCCACCCCAACTAATTGAACACATTTTGTTTTGTTATAATGACATGAAGCAACATTTCTTGTCAATTTAGGTGAAGGTGATGCGCTGCCTAGACCATCCAAACGTTCTCAAGTTCATTGGATTGTTTTATAAAGATAAACGAATCAACTTTGTCTCTGAATACATCAAGGGAGGAACTCTCAGAGAAACCATCATTAAAATGGTAAGCTAAATAGGGTTGTTGTGTCTCTCTGTAAGAAATGTCAAGGTGGACTGAGGTAGCATTTTAGTCACAATTGTGTTTTTGTAGGACAAGGAGTTTCCCTGGGGAACTAGAGTGGGTTATGCCAAAGACATTGCAGCTGGAATGGTAAGTTGTATGCATTTTCTTAAATCCAACAGGGAATTTAAAAAAATAAAATCATGACATTATCCAATACTTACCCTAATACATATAATATATCTGCTTTTAAGGCCTATCTACACTCCATGAATGTTATCCATCGAGATCTTAACTCACACAACTGCCTGGTCAGAGAGGTAAGCGCTTAGTTTCATAATACAAGTCAGAAAACATCAGTTATATTACACAACCATCTAAATTTACAATTACCCAACTGTGGGGCAGTGTTACATCAATATCTTCATTTTACTTGTTAAATTTCCATACAATTGCTGTGAACAAACAAGAGGGGGTTACATTTTTGTATCTATCTTGTTTTAGATAATATTCCAAGTTTGAATTTGATTAATTTAATTATCAAACTTTTTAAATGTCTTTTGTAAGGTTTTTAAGATGTATGTACAAAACAGGTATCATGTCCCTCAATTTAATCAATTTAATTCCGAAACTGTTTGATTTATTTGAATGTTGTGGTCTTACGTTTACGTCTTTCACGTTAAAATTCTATGTATAGATGGAGATTACAGCTCCACATAAATTATTCATCAAAGTCAGCAAACTGTATAGTTCTGACATTAAATTTACTTTTTTCACCTTCAGTATATTTGTTAACATTTCCTTCTATCTCTCTATATTAAGAACCAGACTGTGGTTGTGGCAGATTTTGGACTAGCCAGGCTGGTGATGGAGGAGAGAAATCAGAGCCAAATATCCTCTCTGGAAAGGCATGGGAAGGGGACACTAACAGAGCTCCGCAGGCCTGATCGGAGAAAACGGTACACTGTGGTTGGAAACCCCTACTGGATGGCCCCTGAGATGATCAATGGTGAGGGAACAAGGTCTTAAACAACCAGTTAAAGCTTGAGAGTGCCAAAATAAATACAAATGGCAGAGGCATGACATTTTTAATCAAGAGTAAAAGAGTATGAAAGTCATGTGTGACCTCACGGCGTTTGAGTAAAGATTAACATTGGATTAATACTGGCATTTCCACAGAAAATATTGCCTTTAACCATAAAAGAAACGTCCTGTATGGGAATGTGTTTCTCAAGTGCCTTACCATGCTGGTACAGGCAATTCTAAATTATGTTTCTGAACAGTACAGGCTAATCTGGGGTGTTCTTTCGATACCATAAGTGCTTCACAAAGATAAAACATGCAACAGAAGTGAAAACCGTGTAGCCAACCTCATAATAGCCAAAGCAAGGGTCTCCAACACATTGATCATGAGAGAAGCCCACTGCTAGGTTTACAGTAGCTAGCTTGCCAAGAGGTTCACAGACTTTGTCCAAAAATTCAGACACAACTAAATGCACCTTGAGAGCCTTTATACACTTTCACAGTTTATCAGTGTCTGAACCTAACCAGTCACAGCAATGTATCTGCAGCCTACATCGATAAGCTTTTGTTATTGATGGTTGACAAGCTTATATAAACTTATCATTTTTTGAGGGGGATAAGATTTGTGAATAAATGCAAACACTGTGATGCAAATATAGTTCTCAGTTGAAAAAGGTGGGGGTACTTTGTAAATACTGTGAACACAGAATCTCTGAATTTGGTTAACATTTTCAAATCTTTCCCTCTGCACCTCTTAGGGAAAAGTTATGATGAACGAGTGGACATCTTTTCTTTTGGTATAATGATATGTGAGGTAAGAACATCAGGAGGAAACACTTTTATCGATATTGCATTGTTAAAATAATCTAGTTCCTGGTATAAAACAATGTCACATATATATGCCTTATTTATTAAGTATCTTGTGTCTTTTAGATAATAGGTAGAGTGAGTGCAGACCCAGATGACCTTCCCCGGTCAAATGACTTTGGCCTAAATGTAGCAGGTTTCCTACAGCAGTACCACCCTCCACAGTGCCCATCATCTTTCCTGCCGCTGGCCGTCCTCTGCTGTGACATCGATGCTGATAAACGGTATGAGTTTACCCTACTGCAAACCTTAATTACTATGAGTTATGAAAGTATGAGCGATTAGCAAATAATTCTCGATTGGACTGAGACCAAGTACCTCTGTGGCGTTCCTGGACAGTGAGCTGCCTTAATTGTGAATACTGTACTTAGCAATGTATTACACAAACAAGCTGAATCAATACAGTGCATAGTATACAAAATAAAGTCAATTCATTACTGCAATACGGCATATTGGGCCCTTCAGCTGCTGATCATTACAATTCTTTGTCTTTCACTCTTTCAGTCCGTCATTTTCAAAGCTGGAGGAATGGCTTGGGAACCTTCTGATGCACCTAGACATTGGTCTACCTCTGCTATCTGAATTTGAGCAACTCCACAGAGTCTTCTGGAACAAACAAAACCAGCAAAAGTACTTACACAACCAGGATATGACTCTTGACTCTTGTGAAAAAACCTACTGTTCCAGGACACAAACAAAGAGTTCAGACACCAAGGGTTGTTCAGAAAATGCAAATAATCACAAAGAGTTTAACAACCAAGCTCAGAGTGAAAAAAGTAGCACATTTGAAAACCATATGGACAAAGAGCATCACACTCAGGACAACAATGACAAAAGAACTGAGAACAACCAATTTTGTTTAGGCAAGGAATGTGAAGAAAAGTCACAAGACAAGACTCTGTTTTGCAAATCTTCAAGGATAGACTCGAGCAAAAATGGGTTTGAAACGTGTGAACACAATCACCCCTTGGAACAACCAAATGCCAAGCATGAGCCCTCAAGACCGCAGAAGGTCAACAACTCACTGCTGGATCAGTCTAACAGGCCCAGGAGAAGATGTAGAGTTCTGTGGGACAGCTCTACAGAGAACAACTCTTTTCTCTGATTGCTAAATGTGATGGAAAAGACAGGAAACATCTAAAAAGGGACAGTTTTGAGAGAGAAAACACTTTTTTGAAGACATTTCACGTTTCACACTGGAAGATCCTGTTAAGAGTAATTTTGCTGAAGACTACTGCAGCTTTAGTAAATATTTCATGCACCACTATGACAACTGCCTTGCACATTAAATATGCCTCATATTGCTCTGTTAACAAGTATTTATGTGGTTTCAACTATGGGTGTACTAGAGCTCAACTGATGCTGGATTTAGTAAATGGCCATACAAACATTTTATTATTCAAAATTAGAGACATATTGGCCGCTATGTAATTTTGAAAAGGATTCCTAACATTTACCTAAAAATGTTCTTTTTTTGTGGATAAAATGTGATGGTATTCATATATCTCAATAAGCTGAAACAAATCCTTAGCATTCTGAAATCTACTTCAATTTCTTGTTTATTATCAGACAACATGTATGATGATTTAAAGTATGATAAGGCAAAACTTGACTGCAAATTTTTCAGTTAGGCTCTAGTGTCACCTCTGTTAAAAAGCTGTGAAACATATGGCACTTTATACTTTAAGCTGGGATGCAAGGGTCCGTAATTTATCAGGATGTATTTTCTGTTGTATTTTTTGCAGACCATGAACAACACACTGCATTGTGAACAGTTCATGTAAGAGCTATAGGCTAACTGTAGTGGATTAAATACAAATAAAGAGACAGAAAGTAAGGGTGCAAATAGGAGTGTTTTTTGGAAGCTCTTTATGATATAGCTAGATATATGTGGTATAATATTTACAAATACACTTAATTTTGGATAGCAAATTAAAAGGAATACTCCATGGAAACCTGTGTAGGCCTAACTATGGAATACGTTTTAGTCACTCACCTGTAGTAGGATTTGCCAGGTTTCTCTGAAATGTAAAATTGTAGCTGTTTTTTTTCCATAAAAGTACCTCTCATCAACTTCTTTGTGCCTTTTATCTTCTACCATAACACAAACTGATAGCTAGTTTGAATATAAAATGTTACATGCTAATTATAAACCAGCTTCTAAAAAACTTTTCTAGTCTAAAGGGGTAAATATTTGTTTTCTAGCACAACTTCCAGGTCTCCTACGTCAACATTTGTGGTGAATTGGAGCAAAAAGTCATATTTTTGGCAAAATATGGTAACAAAAAATAAGCTAGGCAGGCTAATTCTAACGATACCACATATGTTAGCCATAATCCGCTTTCTATTTTCGCGCTCGGAAGTCGGAAATTCCGAGTTCTGAGGTTATGCCGCGTTTATCTACCTCGGAACTCGGAATTTCCAACTTTCGAGTTCCGAGGTTATGCCGCGTTCCATTCACTTCGGAAGTGGGAAGTCGGAAATTCTGATTTCTGAGGTTATGCTGCGTTCCATTTACCTCGGAAGTCGGAAATTCCGATTTTTTAGTTTATGCTGCGTTCCATTTACCTCGGAACTCGGAAGTCGGAAATTCCGATTTCTGAGGTTATGCTGCATTCCATTTACCTCGGAAGTCGGAAGTCAGAAATTCCGAGTTCCGAGGTATTGCCGCGTTCCATTTATTATTTAGTGTGTCGTTATCGTCTGGTATTAACTATCAAAACAAAGGCTTTTCCGACTTGCAACTCCCAGTTCCGAGTTCCGAGGTAAAGGGAACGCAAAGGGAACGCGGCACTACTCCTTGCCAGTATTTTTTTTTAATTATTATTATTTTACTGTGACGCACCTGACGTAACAAGCGTCGCGCACAAAACAAAAGCTAACGTTACGCCTCGCTCACACTGCAGGAGTTTTGAAAATCCTTCCCTTAATGAGAATCCTGACAGATATTATTCTCCATAATCTCAAACATGGCTTAGATTAGTGTTGGACATTTTTTTGTTTACATTTGGAAGAATATTTGTCAAAACAATTGTTACAAAAACAATAGGGCCAGTTGGCCAAATTGGCCCAAATAGTAGGACCAGTTGGCGCAACTGGTTATTTTTTAATGCTGTAAAAAAATACAATTTACTTCTTTAGGGCTAGATTTTTTTCCTTGCGATTCACACATCAAACAGATGAGCATGTTTCAACCACAGAGTCTATGGTTTCAACCTCATTTAGGTTGGCCTAATGAAAAAAGTGTGTCTAGCACAATTAACAACATTTTTTTATTTAAGATGTCGAAATTCGAGAACCTATAATTAAAGCTTTGCATGAGCAAAGGCTCCAAGAAGAAGGAAGAAGTATGCTGTCTGTTGTTAGCGTCCTGCACTGAAGTCGGAGGGCTATCACTTAGGTTTTCAAGGAATTAAAATCCTACCTGTCTTATCTGACACGGTGGTTTGAGACTTTAGACCACGTCAGAGAGACTCACTCAGCGGACTGAATCCGGAGCTCAGCCTCAGTCCAATGAATTGGCTCACAAGCCCAACACGCACACCACATTTCATGAGTTCTTGTAGGTCTATAGTTTGGTCAGTCAGTATCACTTACATCCCAGTTGATCCAATTTCTGCCTTTGATCTGTGGAAAGCTTGAAGAGCCGGGGCTGCTGTATCATGGAGCACATGTCCTCTCCGGTCAGGTTCCGCAGCAACAAGAAAGGTAACGTTTCTAAATAACTGATGACACCTGTATACACACAAAGGCGTTAGACCTACTGAAAGAGGTTGTCGCGTTATTGTGTAATAAATATTACAGCATGCAAAACTTTGTATTAGGCTATTTTGAAACTGTGCATGACAGTTTCATTATTGTTTTCATGGTTACATTTGCTAATAATTGTACTTATTGTGTATCACCGCACTGATAGAACCTGTCAATAGAGACCTTTTTAGGTTTATTATGGGAGATGCGTTGCTATAGCCATTCATTTTGAATCTGTATTTTATACTGAAGGCTTGTTTGTTGTTATCCAGAGGGATATAGTAAGGCTGCTTTAAAAAACGTATAATTTATTTACTCACAAGGACGAAAAGCCAATCACTTCTGTCATTAACGCCAAGTTTATACAGTAAAACAAGTGTTTCAGTTTTTGTATTTCGTATTTCTTTCTGACATTTTTCCTTTGTTCAAAAAGCTTCGACGTTCTCAGACACGGAGGTAGGACAAGTTTGTAGAGTAGTATTTAATTATTATTTATAGTGTGAGTCTTGATAGTGTATGTTTTTGTGTGTGTGTTTGTTAAAGAGTTAAATCTCCAATCCCTAACCCTGCTAGAGCATTAGAAGCTGGATTTAAGCCTTCTTGCAAAGCCTCATGGGTAATGAGAGCTGACAGGTATGGGGATGCCAGGCAAACACTGTGGACTTTGTCGTTGTGCTGTCTTTTGACTGGGTTAGCACGGTGATTTTAAATTTAGTTGGATTTTCTTTTGAAACTGAAGTGAAGGCATGGTCATCCAAGCTGCTAATGGTAGCAGGTAGAACAAAGCAATTACATGTCAGACACCAGCTATTTGTACATAAGCTCTACCCTTAAAGGTACTTATTATAAATGATTTAAAGATAGTTTCTTCACTCTAGTTAGTTTATCTAGTTAGTGTTTATCAACCCCAACTTCTTAAAGAGTGTTGTTTCTCTGCCTACTCTGCCTGGACAGATGGACGAGGCACTCAGTAATAGTATAATGGGATCACAGGTCAGGGATAATCAGTAAAGAAAGAGTAGAGTGAGTCACTATAACAGAACACACACGCTCATCAGGTCGTCTACTCGGAGAGCGTGGCCCTGACTGAGGTCACCAGCGGCCATTGTTTTTTCTTCCTCTCCTGCAGTGTTATCATAGTGCCAACATCAACGACCAATTCCTATACTTGAAAATCATATGATGTGACAACCGCTTGAACAGAAAACAAGGCGGACAACTGAAGCAACATAGTTTCTACTGAAGGATTCAACATTTCTTAAAAACACCATGCAAAACCTTCTCTTTGTGTCTGCTGAAGCCAATCAAAAAAGGCCCTAAAAAAGCTTTTCTTAACATTTTTGTTCTTAATATGATTGTCAGAATTCTCTTTTAGTCCTGCCTAAATTATGTTTTTTTCTCAGTCTTCTTATTAGTCATTTATTACTCTAACAGTTCACTAACTATGCCATCAGTTTAGCAAACTGATTAGAAAATTAGAAAGTTAGAAAAACAGTTGAACTTTTGAACCTTCTGTTTGTCCTTGTGAAACAATGTTTTTTATCCGGTTCCAGTTTTCGAGCCTGTCCATTGAGGACCAGGAGGACACTCAGTTTCCTTTTGCCATGAGGGATCTGCCGCCTGTCTCTCAGCCTGGTGAACAGCACCAAACATCAGCACCCAACAATTCTGAGGCAGAGGAAACTGGGATAGGAACCAACGGGAGGCTTCCTAGCCAACCTGGGACTCCCTCCGCACTACACCCCGTCCCCTGCCACTCTGCTGGCTCTCCAACAGTCCCTCCCAGGCCGCATCGCATGGGAATAAACACAGAGTATCATCCCCCGCCGCTGAGGAGGCAGGTCGTCACTCAGGTGTCTCTGGACTCTCCCCTAAGCCCGGCCTCACGTCCACGGAGCCCCTGGGGACGCTTTGATCCGTACGACTCTCCAGAGGTGCGTTTCTGTTCGCCTTGTTCTTTCTCCTTAAGTAATAATATTCACATACGATCATGTTATGTTTGTGTTTTTTTCTCCTGCAGGATCAGGACAAGGAATATGTGGGTTTTGCCACATTGCCAAATCAGGTTCACAGAAAGACAGTAAAGAAAGGCTTCACATTCACGCTCATGGTGGTAGGTGAGTCCTATCATACACCTGCTTACTGGGAGACTTTAACAGGTTAGAGGGAGACAGTTATCATAACATCTCTCTCTCATAAGGGGGATTGTGCTGCAGGCGAGATTCTTTTTTTTTTTTTTTTATAAACTTCATCTTAAGTGAATGATTAGTTGGACTGTGGTGTTTTCTCTCTGTAGGGGAGTCTGGCCTCGGTAAATCGACACTCATCAACAGTTTGTTCCTCACCGACCTCAACAAAGACAGAAAGGTTCCCAACGCACAAGGTAATGTTGAATGTTTGTTAACTAAGATTTGGTCTGTGCAAATTAAATTGGGGGGCCTTGTTGGAATCAGCTGTGTAAAAAGTTGACATTATTTTTCTGGTGTAAAAATAAGATGCTTCCACCGCATTCTGATCTGCATAAGAGCACACTGTTTACCTGTTCACCTGTGTGGATTTAGTCACTTTTCTCACGCATGTGTCTGCAGAGCGAATCGATCAAACAGTCGACATCGTCAAGCACACGGTGGGCATTGAGGAGAAAGGTATCAAGTTGAGACTCTCCATCATAGACACACCCGGGTTCGGAGATGCCATCAACAATACAGAGAGGTGAAGTCATCATTGTGCACCTGCATCTTTGTTTCTCTACTTTCAAATGTGGCACAGTGGAGTTTGTTGCTCTATCAGACATGATTTCACATGTGCACAAAACCCCCCCCCCCCTTCCCCTCAACCCTACCACCAACCCCTCTGTCAAGCAGGAACTATCTCCGTCTGTGAGTAACATGTGCGAAATAGCAGCTCAATACGATCTTTATAGAAATTCTCAGGAGTGCATGTGAGAATAAGGTTTATTTTGAACGTTAAAGCATTCACCGACCTCCAGGATCATGGATTCCGTCTTCAACTGATTATATCTGAAGCCCAATGCACATGCTCTTGTTACAAGTGTCAATTTGACTGCAAAGATGTTGTTTTAGTCACAGAGATTTTCTGTGTGTGCATCAGCTGGAAGCCGATAGAAGACTACATCGACCAGCAGTTTGAACAGTACTTCAGAGATGAGAGTGGGTTGAACAGAAGAAACATCCAGGACAACAGAGTGCACTGCTGCCTCTACTTTATCTCGCCCTTTGGCCACGGGTACACTGACTACATGTTCTACTTCTATGCAGGAAGCTTTAGAGCTTCAGCTAGAATTTGTTCAATACATATTGAGCCCATTTTTATTATGTGTGTTTGTTTTTTTCCATTAGTCTTCGACCTCTGGATGTAGAGTGCATGAAAGCTTTGCATGAAAAAGTCAACATCGTTCCCATATTGGCCAAAGCCGACAGCCTGACACAAGAGGAAGTGTTTAGAAAGAAGATGCAGGTAGGTTAAATTAAAAAAAACACACACACAGACTTTGCCGCCCTGAAGACACGAGACACAGTTAAGGCCACAGGTTCTTTGGTCAATTAATTGTATTGTTGTTGAGTCATTTTAAGTAGTTTTGAGTAATTTGACAAAGCACTCGGTTGTTCTATTGGCACAAACGTTCTGTAGAAAGTTTTGTTTTTTATCTTTGTTTTATTTCCCCTCAAACCTGATGTTAAAATGTGTTCATGTATTCTAGATCAGAGGGGAGGTTAAGCAGTTTGGAATCAACATCTACCAGTTTCCTGAGTGTGATTCAGATGAGGACGAAGACTTTAAGTGTCAGGACCAGATACTCAAGGTTCTTCCCCTGACTCAGCCATGGTTTTAAATTTGCGTTCTCTTTGGAGTCTTGAGGGACAGTTTTAATTAAAATTTCTGCATCTTTCTGCAGGGCAGCATCCCATTTGCCGTAATTGGAAGCAATGTTCAAGTGGAGAGTAAAGGTCGGAGGGTCAGGGGTCGTATTTATCCCTGGGGTGCAGTTGAAGGTATAAAGCACAAACACACACTACATTTTTTTCTTTCTTTTCTTTGAGGTTTCCTGCTATTCAAATTCTATGCTATTCTATTTACGATTAAAAATAACTCCATGTGTCTTCGCATGTTCAGTAGAGGACCCAGCTCACTCTGACTTCCTGCTGCTGAGGAACATGTTGGTGAGGACGCACATGCAAGACCTGAAAGATGTGACCCGAGAGACCCACTACGAGAACTTCAGAGCCCAGTGCATCCAGAATATGACGCGCATGGTGGTGCAGGAGAGGAAACGCAGGTGGGTGGAGTCAGGATGCACATGGTTGGATTGGTTATCAATTTCTTAATTCCAGGAGGACAGTGATTTTTTTGAAGTAGGGTTGTATGAGGTACTTGTTAATCATAAGTGTATTACAAACAGGAGATGCCAGTCAGCATTACACCTACGAGTTATGAAGCAGCGCTTTAACAAATTGGCTTGCTGACCGCGAAGTAAACACTTCAAAGATTTCTAAATGTAGTGTATATTAACGTCGTCATTTTTAAGTCAGTTTTTCATATAATTAGTTAAATTATTTGTTAAAAATAGCCTGTTCTGCATGCTGTACAGGCTAGTATCTGATCAGTTTCTCAATAAAGGGGACATGCAGACCAATACACTTACTATTGATAATTACCTACTCTATTACAACTCCACTTAAAAAAATTGAACTATCCATTAAGATTTCTCTGTTTCTGTTCTTTTTGTTTGTTTGGTTTTGAATATTCGTTTTAGTTTGCGTGAGAGGTATCAAGACGCGAGCGAGGCAGATTTCCCTCTGCCGCTCGCCGCCGTTGACACAGAGCGGGAAAGGCTCATCTTTGAGAAAGACGAAGAGGTACGTTTCTCCTTACTGCCTCACTCATTCTTTCATTTCCTCGATTGTGGAGGTAATCCCTGCTCCTTTATTTATGCCCGTTCGCAGCTGAGGAGGATGCAGGAGGTTCTGCAGAGGATTCAGGAGCAGATGCAGCGCAGCCAGAGTGAAGGTTGATTCTCCTAATATTCCCTGGAGGAGGAGACTGATTAGGAGCACCCAGAAAACAGAGGAGGCCATCTTTTTTACTAAGTCTGATGAACAAAAAGAGATGGATTTAAAAAGGAACACAACAACTTGCAGACTAGAGTATCAAGCAAGCTGATTGGCTCATCCTGCCAGAAGGCCATTTACAACATGGAAGGAATAAAACCTTTGTCCGGTTGCCTAAAAGCTTTTCCCTTATCAAAAATGTTCCCTAATGGCAAAGATAAATTTAGGAGGGTAATGTTAAGCCTCTTTGGTTATCGCCTTAGTTATGAGGAACTCTGATGAAGTGTGTTTTGAGTGTTGACACCATGCTTTAGTCTTTTTCATACTACAGTAAATGTGCATTTCAGTTACCATTGTTAAACTTCACTCGCATTGTAATTATCCTTTAACATTACATGACAGTACTAATGTTTTAATATGCAAGCTTTATCAAACTGGCAGGAAGTAACTGAGAAGATCACGGGAGATTTGATGTTAAATGTCTGATTCAGGAGTTGTAAATATTTGATGATAGGCTGAGTGTTCAATCTGTTCTAACATGGTGATCCATCCTTTGTTTTGTTACAATTTAACACAACTCATGTTTTTCCGAAGGCTCCCTAAGGTTGAATTTGTATTTAAGGGCATAATCTGCCTTTGTTTCTGTTTTTGCGGGTGCTGTACTTTACATTAACTCTGTTCTAGTGTAAAAGAAGTGTTTTGATTTGAAGCCAAAAAGAGCATGAGTTGCAACAGTGACCCTGAACACAACACTAAGAGCCAGGCTGATTGTTGTGTTCAGGGTCACTCCAGCACTTTACACTGGCTCACAAATTGAACTAGTTACAACACTTAAGAACTCTCTGTTTTATGTATGAGTTCACAGACCAACCCTTTACTACTAGTAACCTTCATACTGATGGAACAACTCCACCTAGTGGTCATTGTAGTGATTTTCAAATGCCAGTAGGTTTAAAAAGACGTTACATGTTGGTGAGTCTGATGCTGTTGTCTCTCTTTTTGTATTTTAATCTTTAATTATGCTGTTTTCTAAGGACAATAAATCGAAGACCTTTTAAATGAACCACTTTCTTTTTGCAGTTAATGTGATGCAAAAGACGAAACACAAGAGCAAGAAATGTTGTAAATGTAATAAGATTTATTAAGAATCTTTAATATTTCATCAGCATAATTCTTCATCATTAATATGTTTAATCCATTATCATCATTATCTTTAACAGTGGACAGTTAGATCTAAAAGGCAGCCCAAAGTGTACAGGCGACATATAACTTAAAACTTTCTCCATAGGGAAAACATGTTTTTATATTCATATATAATATCAATGTAGCATGAGGTCCAAGATCCTGCCAACGTTATACAGTATTGTACATGGTCCCAAAAAGAAACGTAGAAACAAAACAAACTAAAACAGCAATCTACATGCAAAACAAAAAAAAACAAGCATTCAAATTTGAAGAAACATACACTCTTATGCCAAAACGTGCATACAATCACAAATTTACAAAACTTCCATACATACATACAAATATTAAAAAACTTGAATATTAGACAACATTGTGTTATCAAGAAAAGAGCAACAACTTTTTTTGTTTTCTCACTTTTTCAACTTGATGTCTCAGTCCTTACTCACAAAATGAAAAGAAAAAAAACCCAATGAGGACAGTTATTCTTTGTCTCTTCCATTTGCTCATTGTGTTTTTGTGTTTTGCCAGAGTTGTCACAGTGTTCAGGGAAACTGAGTATAGGCACACACAATAGCACCCAAACATGCTCATACCGTAAATCACCTGTGTAAAAAAAACAACTAACAAAGTAGCTCCACACATTCACACACTCCATCATGCACAGGGCAAACTTTAGAACCAAAGAAACAGGGCCATGCTACAGGTACAGTAGGATTAATTATAGTACAGAATATAAAACATACTGAATACAGTCACAAGTACAGACAGAAAACACAGAGACAGCAGAAGAGGCCAGAGCAGATCCACACAGATAGACTACAGAGACAAATGCTGATGGGAGATTTGTTTTTGGTGTGACATGTATAGGCTGGCAAGGCTGTTGAGCCATGTACGTTTTGACTATGTGCACATTAACACACGTAAACACAGACACACACACACACACACACACACACACATTAAGAATAGTGGATGTTGTAACACATTTTTACCATTTTTAAATTCAAACAATTATTTTCTGGACTGAAGTAGAGGATTTTAAGTCAGATTTCTTTTTTTTTGTCACATCGCTGCCAAATTATTCATCAAACAACTGCAATAAAATGTGACCATTCTGGTATTAACAAAACATTTTTAGGTTCACTAGCTTTTTGTTACATGTTAAAGTTTGTCTGGGGACAAAAGGGTCATTCTTTTAGTTTGTCAAAGAAATCAGAAGTATTTCTATAGTTAGGAGGACTTCTTTTAATGAATCTGATTTAAGATCAGTGTGTTTCTGAGTGTCTCTACGGATCTGAATAGCCTAGACAGAGGGTTTGTATTACGAATGGGGAACATTAGCATGCTGTCTGGAAATGAGGCAGAAGAGGGAGCTGTTGCATTAAAAGGACAAGAATGAAAGCCTGACTTTCTTCACAGTGGAAACCAGTCACTGAATAATTTGGTAGACTTGAGTGCTCCGGAAATTAAATTCATCCACATATTTCAGGGTATCAAATTAAGCAGACAATTGTCCATGTAGATACTTCATTAGCCAAATGTTTGCGGTCCAAACTGTCAATAACAGGTCTTGATTGGTTTGACAGAAAGATGTCATGACCTTACGGTTTCCTCATCTTATCAGGTCTTGTGTAAAGAATGATGCATTTCAAATGGAGCTTACAATGAAAAGGTTTTTGAAATGAACCCTTCTTTTTAGACATTTCACTGATCTTTTAAAGGGAAATTCCCATTAAAACTTTTTGAACTTTTTCCTTTTAACTCTAGTCTGTTACAGTTCAATTTGATGTTTGTCTTTAATCCGTAGTTTGAGGGTTCAAGGAATAAGCAAACTAGATTTTTCCACATTAATGTGCTTTCTCATTTCCAAATTTGCCTTTTGATGGAGACCCTCTTCTCCTTTAGAGTCTAACACTTTGATGCAACTAATAAAAGGAAGTAGATGATCAACTGCAGTGTTGAATTATACATTTTTCAATGTTTTGTTTTTCTAATGTTGGATTTTAGATGTGCCCTCTTTTTTCTTCTTCAACTATTGCAAGATAAGGAACCTTCGGTTTGGGAAAATGTAGAGGGACTACTTGTCACTTCTTGGAACAAGTTTTTTTTTTAGAGATGATAAACTCCCGTTATTGAACTACACTTATCCTGTTGACAAAAGGTGAAGGACTATCAGACGGTGACAGTGTTTTAGCTCTATTCATCAGGCTGTGTGATATGTTCTCATTTACACTTGATTAAAGCCCTGTATGTAATTCATTTAGAACAGTGGGACCTCTAAGATCACACACAGCTGACATCACACATGACACCATGATTATATAAATACAAGGCGGGCACATACTGTTTCACCACGGCAACAGCCTGAGGACAAACAAGTCTCTTTCATAGGTTTTTTTGAAAAATGAAAAATTAAGTTAAGGTAAAACCTTGATGCCTGAGTGTGAACTGAGCTTATTATGTTAGTGCTTCTGGTTGTTAAGTCAGGAGAGAGAGGTCAGGAAAGGAGGAGAGAAGGACAGGAGAGGAGGAAAGGAGGTTAAACAGAGTATGTCTTTGCAGCGCAGACAAATGTCACAGTCTTATTTTCACAAAGGCCTGTTCGTCCTGACTCCGTCCTGACAGAGCTGAGACAAAATATCTCTGGAGATATTCTTCAAAAGTTAAAAAAACAACAACATTGTTTTTTTTAGTTTTTTTTAAATTGTCATGTTTCTCAGAGAATCTCTGCTCTTAATGCTGATTATTGATGGAGTGTAAATCTCTAGAGTTCTGAGTCTTTCGATCTCATTTCTCATTTTCTCCTTCAGGCAAGTTTGAGCGTGCTGACAGGAAAGGTTGGGACTGTAACCATGGTGACAGGGTTGAGAACAGCCGTCTGTCCGACCAGCTGGGGGTGGGGGGCCAGCACTGCTGTGGGTTTCCCTAGCGATGGGCTCCCCTGCGTCATTACGGCTGCGCTGTTCATCTGGCCTCCGTTAGTGTTAACTTGTGGGTTAGCCTGGACGTGCGGAAGAGTGTGATGGGTGAAGGTGTGAGTGATGTGGCCCACCATGGTGGGCTGGGACACAGACACACCTTGAGGGTACAGAGTTTGGAGATGGGATGGCAAGGGACCTCCCAGGTGAGCCACTGGGTGGACAGTGATGTGTCCGATAGGCTGTGCTGCTATCTGCTGGTGAGTGGCGGTGGCAGCCTGAGCTGCTACGATCGACTGAGGGGTGGTGGAGGTGGGACCAGGCGACGGGGCGATGTGCGTAAGATGTTTGTGACTGACTTGCAGGCCGTGGTTGACAGCCTGGATGACTGAAGGGTGGGAGACCGCGGCATGAGCGATGACAGTGGGCTGGACCTGCACTGTCGGGGGCTGGATATGATGAGCAGGCACTGGATGGGGCTGACCAGGGGCCGGAGCAGGGGCGATGGCCTGAGGTGGAGGCGGAGCAGAGGGGGAGGGCGTGGTCAGGATTCCAGAAAGAGGAAGGGTGGTATGCTGAATAGAGAGGTGAGGAGTGAGGAGCGGCTGTGCTTGCAGGATCGGAGGTGTTGGTTTGGGGATGGAGGGTGGAGCAGGAAGAGGAGTGGAGACGTCCTCGTCCATGTCCTGCTCAAAGTTGTCCTCTCCTTCTGTAAACCAGAGAGCAAACCATCAGTCACATGATTCAAGTAACACTGCAATGTGTATGTACTGTACATTAAACCACTAGTTACTCTCCAATGTAGGGGTGTGGAAAAAATGTATTTCTACCATTCTGAATTAATTCAAAACATTAAAAAAAAACAACGATGTGTACTTTCTTTCATACTAAATACATTTTCACCAGCCGCTAGTTTGACCACGGCAAACATTTTCTGGCATTTTCTTTTTCTTGGTACACTTATGCAACAGGCGGAGTTTCAGTCGTGGCTTGTCAGACGTGCTGCTAACATTAGCTAGCTGTCAAAGTTGGTGATGTATGGCTGTGTCCAACATTTTAACAAACTGACTGTTCTTGTCTATGGAGCAGTGAGATATTCATCCTGGCTCGTCTTCATTGCAGGCAAGCGTTGCAAACTGTGGGTTCTACAATGCACCGGGTAAAAGGAGGCTTGACCCAACCTAATTCATTACACAAGGTCTGCAAAATGTTAGTGAAGTACTTTGAGGAACAATTCAAATGTCCACAGTATACGCCACGCAGAGCTTAAGTAAATGCAACAACTGCTGAACTAGGGGTGGGAATCACTAGAGTCCCCATGATACGATATTATGGCGACACTCGAGACACGATACAATTCTATTACGATTTTTAACATTTTGCAATATGCTGAGAACTGCGAACATATTTAGCGAGCAAGTTTTTAAACTGCATATTATGTCCACTACACTAAACTAAATCAAGAACTGATTTGTCAAATAAGATAAAATTCTCAGCATGTTCATCTCACGTCATTCTTTTTATTTGAGCTTTAACATAAATTCTTAACGATGCAACTTGTTCAAAATGAATTGTGCAACCCCATCAGCAGTTAAATATTAAAAAAGCATATACAAAATATCATCTTAAAAATATATATTTTTTTAAATTCTGGTATCAAATTAAACCCAGAAAAAGATGCAAAACAAGATAAATGTTCTTAAAACACTGCATTAAGAGCATTTTTTGGATTTACCAATCAATGCTATGTAATGCATAGCAATGAGGTCGACCACACCTGTTCACAAAGTTAAAAGTTTCGGTCACTCCCTTGTTTAGAGTTGCTCTGAGAATTTCCCTACATCACTCCTAAGCTAAGACTCCTTCTGAGGATTTGTTTTAGCTTGTGAATATGGGCCCTGGTCATTAGGTAAAAGCTCAAGTGCAAGGTGTTAGCTGTGTGTACCTGAGGCTGTGGACGTGGAGGCCTGGTCGTCCTCTGGCTGAATAGTCTGTCGCAGCACTCTGTCGATCTCGACGACGTCCATGCACTGGCTGAGCTCGTTCTTCAGCTCGGCCAGCCGCTGCTGAGTGGCGATCTTCTCTCTTGCCAGACGCTCCATTTCATGCTCAAATTCCTTCTCCTTGCGCTTCAAAGTCTTTAGGAGGAGACAGAGACACAAGAGTAGATGAGGATCACAAGCGTGTAGCACATCTGAAGCACTTCTGAAAATGTGAATGTTGCGAAGATGTGAGATGACCCATGAATCCATAAATAAAAAGTGCCAAAAATGGGAAATTACTGACTACAATTGCACACAATATTCTCTGTTTCTTGTAAATACAGAACCTTATAGAACACCTTTTGTCTATATTATGAGGCTACAATACATTATAAATATCTACTGTTTTCAGAACTGGCATTTAAACAAAAAAAAGGAATTCAGCTAAACCTTCTTTCTCTGTGCAGGCCTGACCACTCACACATCTCTCTCAGCTTGCACAATCCTCAGACATAATGATCTCCGCCCTATCAGACTCTCAAACACAAGCAGGAAGGCATGCATGCAAATATAACCACACTGCTTGGGTTGGGCTTCAGCCCTCTAAGCTCCTCCCATTTCCTGGATGTCACGCTTGTTTTTCAGAGGGATCGCGGTCAGAGAGGGAGTCAACGGCCTGCTGGGTTTAATTTCCACCAATCGCTCAAGTTCAGTATCAACCAAGACTACTCTGGTGTCACTGGATTACTGCAGCCTGAAAATTTAAGCCAGTTACGACTGAATCATAGTATTCACCCTACACACCTCACTGTTGTACACTGTGCAGGAAGCTGCATGTGTGTTTGAAGATTTACAAATGAAATGAGGAAGGAAAACACAGCAAGATCCTCATAAAAAAGGAAGGGGCGCAGATAGCCTATTGGTTAGATTGTGCGCACTATGGATGGAGGCCTTCAAGAGGATGGCTTGGGTTTTAGTCTGGCCTGTAGCTCCTTTCCAGCATGTCATTCCCCACTCTCTCTCTCTCTCTCTCCCTGATTTCCTACTCTATCCACTGCCCTGTCAAATAAAGGCATAACAAGGCCAAAAAAATTTTTTTTAAAGGAAAATATAGAACTATTTAAAAAGACAGAGCAAACCTGTCGAACAACCGCACCGCGTCTCTGTGACCCATTTTCTGTGTGGGTCAGCTGACTCATGAACACCAAACAGTACGACGGGCTAAGGACATTAACACAGATTACAGGGGAGGAATGAGGGAGAGGGGGAGGATGGAGGTACAGGAGGTAAACTGTTGGGAAATGAGGGCAGAGGGTAGGGAGTTGGGAAAGGAAGGGACTGAGGAAAAACGGTTGGTAAACAAAACACTGTGCAAGGCTGGTTGAGTTTTTGCTGTGCAGCTAGCTACAATTATTATATGACTGGGTACTAAATATCATGCTGACTTGTTGAACTAAAGTTCATGCAGTAAACATAGCTTCCTGTCCTACTGATGAAACCAAGAGCAGAAAAACAATGGAAACCAAAAGAGAGGGAAAAAAAAGCACAACTGACACATGATCCTACTACTGGACACTCACTGCAGTGAGAAAAACACGAGCATGTGATGGCCTTACACACTCATGTACACACGTCCTGATTCACAAGCCTCTTTGCAACAGCTCCCTGGACCAGAACAGGTGAGCTCTGCAAAGATATTACAGCCTTGTATCCGTCTCCAACACATTTTCTTCTATGTTTTTCTACACGTGCAGCCTGAATCTAATGTTTAAGGGCAGTTTTTTTTAAGTTTAGAGGTTAAGAAGCAGAAGGTTCTGAACTGACAGCTCGAAACACAGACATTGGATATCAATAACCCTTCAGCAATGATAAGTATTAATGCTATTCCTGTTATTTCCGCCAGACAAGGCTTTCTATTGCATGTGTGCTGCACATGCCCCTTCACTGAATACACTCCTGCAAGGTTTTCAAAACAAAGCATAAAACTACAAACACACTGTCACACAATCTACAGAGAAGTGTAAGTGCCCTCAAGAAAAGAGAAAGAAAGAGAGTGATTTGTGAATAAGGACGTAATACACCCCCATTGAGAATGATTAATGTCACGTGAACACGCAAATCCCCCCCCAAAAAAAACATTTAAAAATGGAAGAGACGCTGACTTGACAGCGTAGATTTACTTTAATTTTTGTCATGTCTTGGATAAAATGCCATCTCAAATCAGTTTTTCAGAAGCCTTTTATGTCCTTATATTTTAAAAATCTAATTTAATAATTTGCACACATTTTTAAGGATCTGTGGGAACAGTGCTTAGAATTTAAAGCTCAGCTTGTATTGATAATAAGGAATTAAAAAGTGAGCAGCAGGGGCAATGGCCTCCAGGTTATATCCCGCCCCATGTGGAGAGGTTATAGTCCTCATTGAGGAGGCCGTGGGTTCGATCCTGACTTCGCCCTTTGCTGCATGTCACCTCGACCCTCTCCTCCCAACATTTTCTGTCACTCTTCAGCTGTCCTATCTGACAAAGGCAAGAAGGCCAACAAAGTGAGCATGGTTTAAATGGCACCTTACTTGTCTCTGAACAAATTAGAAAAAAAGAAAGAGAAATCAAAATTTGAAGGAATCACATTTCAGTCTAATGTAGGAAGAACTACCACTGCTTTTGTATGTGCGTATGTGCAGCATCATTTCAAGGTCCTCCTTTACAAGCCCAGACACCATTAAGCCTATAGCAAATCAGGAAACAGCTGTCACCCATAGCTGTTTCCTTGGCAACCTCATCCATGAGGAGTCTACTTGAGCAGCAGTTTGTAAAAAAAAAAAAAGAAGAAAAAAACACAAGGCGCTTTCTAATAGGGTGAAGTATTGAGGTAATTACATATACGGAGTGATGTGATTGGACGCCTGCCAATAAGGTGCTTCAGATCACTCCCATCTTTCTCCTCCTCCCCTACACTTCCAGCCCCTGTCACCCTACTCCCCCATCCATTGCACCAACAACACCATCCCCCTTCCTCTCCCACTTCTTCTATACCTCCTTTATCCTTACGCTTAACACGCATCTTTACAAATAAAATGGTAAAAAAGGTAGAATGAGGACATTTCGGAGTGACATGTGCCTTTGCCTTTAAATTAAAAACACAAAGGTCTTGATGACTTTTACTGGTTAATTATTTACATCACACACACACACACACTCTTCCATACAGACAAACGTGGAGGAAGGGGACCGCCTACAGCACACGAGCCACCTGCCGCCAGTTGCTATAGTTACCAAGTGGGTAGACAGCCAGGAGATGCAGGACGAAAAAGGACAGAGTGGAAGAGAAGGAGGAAAGACTTAATCAAACCAACTGTTGCCAATCTGTGTCCAACACTACAATCACACTGTCATTACTGTGACTGCACCGCTGCACTGCTCCAATAGTGAACACCATTACCGCCTCTCTCTGCAGCCTGAGCGGTGCAGAGCAGATCAGAGTGGGTGAGATCATGTATCGAGCTTGTGCTAGCCATGTGCTCAGATGTCACATGGCTCAGGGAGAGGGAGGGGGAGGGGGCTGAGGATTGTGGGTTTTCATGAGGGGAAATATTACATTACAAAGTCAAAGGAAATGGTGGAATATAAACAGCAGTGGTATTCGGAAAATAATCTTTTATTTTTGGTCTTTACTTTATGCCATATTGTGTTATAATCAACAAACAAATGGGCTGCACTTAATCCACAGAAATGTGACTTTTCTCCGTTTCATCTCACCATTTCTGTGTCATACAGGTATCAGCTGGTGGTTACTGATGACAATAGTCAGAAACGTACCTCAGCAATGTAACAGTCTGCTCTAGTCTCAAACTGCAAACTTAGACAAACTAGCTCCGTCACAAAGCGCTGCGTTCGGTTACTAGATATAAATCTGGTTCTATGAGTGAGAGCATACCCCTCTAACAGGCTTTGCTATTGGTTTGGTAACAAATACTGTTATTGATATGATGCAGCTTTTCATATCACAGTCTGTTGTACTCACTCAAAGCACTTTCTAAATAAAAAGGGAGGGAGTTAGGTTTATCTTACTGCTTATATTAGCCTATTGTTAGTTGTACTGTACTGAAATTGTATGTATTTATTTTCTTTACATGTTACTTGTGTAAACATACAGTGTATGCACAGTCACACCACCACTCCCGCTGACGAGACAGCTACCACCTTAACTGGCACATTTCTCAGAGACCAAAGTAACTTCTTCTCAAATCCAACCTTCTCACAAAAACAAACTGACTCATCATTGGATATTTCACTGAACGGAACATCATGAAGCTCCTAACTCTACATAACAGAAACCCCTCTATCTAGCTGAAGGCTGATATTTATTTCTGACACAGTGCAGTAAAACCTCTTTCATACTTCTGTAGACCGTAAACTCACCTCTCCAGGCTTTTTTATTTCTAATGAAAAAGGATTACTCTCTAGTTCTGTAGTATTTCATTTTCTATGTCACACTGCATGATGCTTCAGGGACTACAAGACAAAGTTAAATTGTCTGTGAATTAGAAATGCTCCAAGTAATTTCCCGGAGAACACTGCCAAGTATGTTGTAAAAAAAATAGACATTACATTGTATAGATTGTGGAAAACTTTCAATGTAGTCACAATTTTCTTATCGGCTGATTCACCCCCATATCACAGTCACAAGAGACTAAAACAATGGACTTAATGGATAACAGAACAGGCATTGTATTTCAACTACACAGCACCAAAGCCTGTGCAGTTCGCAAAGCTGAAGCAATCATTCCAAAACCAGAGAAAAACAAAAATAATGAGACAAAAACAAGAAAACCAAGCAATACACATACATTGAGTGGGATTCAATTCCAGTGTTGAAACATAAATAGTGTCAATGTGCTGGAAAAAAAGCTGAAAAATTGTGTTGTCCAATCTACCTGTATATAACGCAAAGCGCTGCGGAGGACGCTGAGGTTGGAAGTTTTCTTCTCATCAACATTTGGAACGTTCTTCTTCAGCGTCTCAAAACACTCTTTGAGGTGCGCTCGCCTGAAGGGCCAAGAGTCAGAAATTAAAGAGTCATACTTGTGATGTGTTTTTTTTTTTCATTTGCATACTTTCTAAAATATCTATCTCCATTTCTGAAGAAGTTATTCATCTCCTTAAAGCTGTTCCCACTCAGAGAAAACGTTCATGGTTTCATGGAGGTTGAAGAAGTACCGTGACCTTTGGGCTCTTTCGTAACACACTTGTGAACCCCAAAATGTTGGTTATGAGCTACGGTCTATACACAAAACAGAGCTGGTTCCTTGATTTAATCACACAAAAAGTAACAATGAAAGTTCATGTCACCATAACTGACCTGTTCTTCTCCAGTTTATTATGCACCTCTCTGGTCCCCGCTCTGAAAACACACAAAAAATAATCAAACATTATCATTAAATGATCTACACTATTATATCATTTTTAACACACACACACACACACACACACAGAAATACACACACTGACCCTCCTGGTCTCCTCTTTCCTTCCATCCCCCTCATGTCCTCCAGTGTCACTCCATTAGGTCGTGGCTGAGAGGTGGGCGGAGCTTGATGGGGAACCAGTGCATGTTGAGAGCTGGGGCCATTAGTGCTGATGGAGGCTTGGTACTGAATCTGAACCTGTTGCTGAGATTGGCTGGGCTTGGCACCAACCAGCTGCTGACTAGTCTCTAACTTCATCTGGGGGGTACACAACAGGTGAGGAGAGGTTGGCTGCTGGTGCTGCTGCTGCTGCTGCTGTTGCTGCTGCTGAGGAGGGGAAGAAACGTTCTTGGCTGGCGGGGAGCTGTTGAGCGTTGCTGCCGCCGCAGCAATTGGCGTAGCAAGGTGAAGGGGCGGGACTGACGGTGTTGCGGTGACAACTGGAACCATTGGGATGACGGCGACAGGGACTTGAGGAGGTGGGAGAGAGGGGGGCGGAGGCGCAGGAGGATGGTGTGGCAGCTGACGGTGGGAGTCATCGTCCCAAGTGATGTGGTTGGCTCTTACTGGCTGAGACAATGAGGTCACAATTTCCACATGTCGTGACTCCGCCTCTCTGTTGATGAGCGCCTTCTCTTTTTGGTGCTCTTGCTCTGCGGGACGCGAGAAGAGAAGGTGAACAAAGACATGAGCAAAATAAAATAAATAAAGAGTAAAACCAAAGAAGCCAAGACAGAGCACAGAGGATACAGTAGATGTAAGAGAAGAGAAACAGGAGGGCTGACTTATTCATTTAACACAACATTAAACCGTCTGCCCATCATCAAACAGTAGAACTGTGAAGATCTCCTGCTTGAATTGATTTAACCACTAACAACCCATGTCCCTGCAGTAGAATCATGTTTTTAATACTTTTTAAATAGTGCATTTTTACAATTCTAAAAGGAAACAAATAAAATCAATGATGAAAGATGAAAATAAGAAGAACGCATAGTGGGGGCTCGTCAAGTTGAAATAATTATTATGTGTCCATGTAGAGGTCCATTAATGTCCAGAGAGTCACAAGAAGATAGTGAACAAATATTTACCCAAAAACACGTAGGGGTGATTGGCATCAATGTGTCCGCACTTTGAAATAATTGTCTTGTTGTTCTGTTTGTGTGTATGCTGTAATCAGAATATCTATGACTGCATTGCCCTCCTCAGCTATTTCTGGTCTCCAAGAGTGAAACTGAACTTTAGAGAAAAGAAAAAAAAAAAAAATTGTTGCACAAGATTTGTTCCTTAAATGTCTGACAAGTAAAGCAACACCCGTCTTCACCTGTGAGAAAGAGTCATACACCCATTTCTTCTAATGCGGGATCCCACTTTGTGTGTCTAGTACACATTTATATAGTGCATGCACACAAACACAGAAGATGATGTCATCCAGGATTCAGATGATGGGGAAGGGTAAATGACCAAAGAAGATATGCTGTGGTCTATTTCCTGTCTGGAGAGAATCCCCCTCGGTCTGCCCTGTGATTGGACTATTCCAGCTTGCAGCGAGCATGCTTCTACCTCTGAACTACGTCAGCGCCGTCTGACCAACAGCAAAAGACTGTTGTCAATGAGCTGATCTGCAGGGTCATTGAGAGTGGCCATTAGGACATTATACATGAAGCATTGTTGTACCAAAAGAATAAAAAAAAATAAAAAAAATCCAAAAATAGACTTAAATACACTTCATACTGTGTGAAGGTTCCCACGCTTTGCTCTTGACGAGTGTGCAGAGGCGCGCACACACACATACACAAACTGAATGATACGAATGAGTAGCTCTGCCCACTGTAGCTGTTCGACTCAAAGGGATGTGGAAAGCCCTCAGTAACCATGGGAACAGCAACATTAGAAATAGAAGATCCCAGGGATTCCTTAAACCGGCATGATGCCAACACACAGCTCAGCGATCCCCACCAACACCAAAAAAGAAGTTTTACATTTGATTTAAAGCAGAACACTGTGTTGCAATTGTATCAAAACAATAACCAAGTGATGAGTGGATTATTGAAATTGAAAAATAATTAAATCATTCTGTGGTTTCAGATTATCAATTTACACTATTGTCCCTTTTTTAATACTCTTTAAACTACTATATTAATAGGCTTTGGATTAATGTGACAATGAAATTAGGCATATTCCCCTATTTTCTAACATTTACAGAATACCCCCCACCCCATTTATAAAGAATACAATTGCAATATTTTCCTCCCAGATTTCCTCTTTATTCCGTTTCTGAAACTAAAATAGTAATCACAGTATCTGATGTAAATTGTTAAGAGTGTGGACACAAAAACTGCATTAACATATAGTCATCCTTTATTGATTTAGACATTAGCTTGTTTTTGCATGGATTGAGGATTCATATCCTGATTTTTTTTTTTTATATTTAGCTAATCTAAACTCTATTTCATGGCCCTGTCTTTATGGCAGAAATAATAATAGTGTATTCGGATTACCCAAAAAAAATCATTTCTGAAATTGTCCCCCAAAAAATAGCCACAGGCACAAATACATATAAAGATTTAAAATCACACGTGCTCTATATTGTCAAGTGCACGCAAACGTAAATTACATAACTTCTGCATTAAGGCTGGGACAGGGTGGGGGGGTGGGGGGGGGGGGTGAGAAAGGACGCTGCCCTACTTACCCCCCTTTCTCTCTCCCTAGACCCGCCACTGACAGTAGACTGAATGGAAAGGGCGGAGACGATGAGTGTGTGCGTGTGCGTGTGCGCGCGCGCGTAGGTGTGTGTATCTAGGAGGGAGGAGGGGTGGGCAACGTGCACGTGGTAACTGTGGGCGGACCCTAGCACGCGGCTGGTTAAGCATGCTGGGGGAGGGGGTTGATTTGTCTGACACGTCATCTGAGGGGAGAAAGGGAAAAAAAAAAGCAGCCCCCCCCTGTTTCCATTTAATGAGTCAGTGATCATATAATGTCATTTTTGACGAGTCATACGTTCACCATTAATAATCATTTAATAAAAGCACGCAAATATGTGATATCCTCGCGCGCACATTTACAAACGGGACGGGTTGAGCGCGTGAGGGCCCGCCCCACTGTGTGTCATAAGATAGCTGAGCAATGTCAGGGTATTATGTAAAGAGCTGCCTCTGCTCGCCACCGCCCTGCCCGGTGCTCGACCGACAAAAAAACTGGGCCGAATCGATTCTGGGTCTGATATGTTATAACTGATGTATTACATGTGACGTAGAAGTCGACCACGAACACTTTCAAACAAGGTTGTAACCGATTTGACTCGTGTTTTAAATTGTTAATGCTCATTCTGCACTGAAGTAGAGGCTATATTAGTTCGTTCACAACAAAAGATACGAGACATACACCACGGAAACTCCTCTGCTATGTTCCTCTCACACACACACTCATGCGCCCAGTGAGCCACTTGCGTGTAACACACACACACACACACACACACACACACACACACACACACACACACACACACACACACACACACACACACACACACACACACACACACACACACACACACACACACACACACACACACACACACACACACACACACACACACACACACACACACAGAGCGCGCAAAGTAGTTCGGAATTCAACTTCAGCCATTTCCGCATTAAGGGAAATCCAAATGTGTCCAATAAGTAACCACTTGTGAATTTCGGACACTTTGCAACGACTTCAGTTTCCGTTCCGTCTTTTTCTGCGCGTACCCAGTCTAGACCCAGTCGGACAAACGCCTCCGCTTGTCATAAGCAGGTCGGTTGAAAATGAAAGCCCAGGCACTGATAGTAACAAGACACGGCCCCTCAAAAGGCAGTTTATGATGTAAGACACAGTATTATTGGGGGGGTCAGGCACGTTCAGCATAATGGGCTAGTCTGTTCTTCAACTTACCACGTGTTATCTGTTGTTGCTGGGCTTGCCATTCCAGATACCTGGCCGCCTCCAAAAGTGTATCGATGCTCATTGCGCGTAAAACCCTCACGGCAGGCGACCCGGTGGCCCGGGACGGAAGGAGGAAAAGACCGAGGGGAAGGTAAGTGTCCCTGTAGGAAGCGCCGTGTGCACACGTCGCACCCGCACGCCCGATCTACTATTCCCCTGCGGGTCTCCTGACAGCAGACGGACAATTTTTAATCCGGTCGAACAGAAAGTAGATCCTCGCATTCGTAAAAAAAAAAAAAAAAAAAAAAAAAGGATCGCTACAAGATGGCGATGCGAGCACGGGAATACACACAACAAGGCGAGTCGTGTTCTCGTTAAGGCCCGCCCCTCCCGGATTCCTGCCCCGCCCTGTTACTACGGACTCCAACAAAACCCGGCGACCGCACCACTCCTATCCTACTCCGCGCGGTCAGACTTGGTCACATTAGCCCTGCTAAATAAAAGAAAATAGCATTGCAACTATCTTACTCTCTATCTGAAAATATACGGGATCCTGGTGTACTAGGGTATTTCAGCAGGATATTAGAAAGGAGAATCCCGTCGGTGTCGTAGACTTCCTTGTTTTAGCTCGAACAGCTGGCCCGCAGCGCATGAAGAACAATCAGGCTTCCGCCAGCCAATCAGCGCTCAGAACAACAAGGCATGGTGCTGGTCCACATGGGCACCCGCCCGGCCTGAGCGCGGCACATTTGCATGGCGAGAGCGTGACTGGCCACCCTGCTGTCTCGGGATCAGAGATGTCAATCACACAACAAGGGGCGGAGTTTACGTCGGTTTTAAATTTGGGAGACTCACGCAGCTGACTGAAACGTATTACTCTGATCATTATTCATAAGGTTGCGATTCAGCTCAAAAAGAATCCATGCGTTTAAAAAATAATGTGGGATTACGAAAATAAAGTTGTTTTATCAGGTGAGGTACATATAATTAACCAAACAAATATATTTTACTCCCAATCTAAAGTAGCAATAAAATGTATCAATGAAATGTAGCACTTACCTACCACAAAAAGAAAATAAATGTAGTGCAAAACAAAACGTCTTAGGAAGAAATCAAATCAATTTATTGAATTAAAAACTATAACTATATCGCCTATAAAAATATTAGAATGCTTCGGTAGGGTTAGGGTTATTTTCTTCTTTTAGCACAGACTATCTCTTACCATGTTTTTTATATCACTTCCCACTGTTCCAGTCCCCTTTCCAGTGTCCCACACAGAAAAGAAAAATTATTAGATTTATTGTCTCACACAGATAATCTCTGTGTGTTACTACTCCCTGTTTCCACATGGTATGAATGGCATTGTATGGTGAATTTAAGAACTGCTTTTATGATTTGTGGATACCATTTTTTTGGTGGGTTTGTCCACATACGTGTAATTATGTGTGTATGTATGCATGGATGCATGGTAACAGTCTTTGATTGGGCACCGCTCAGTCGTATATAACGTTGACTACATCATTGGATCTGACTGTTTGAACCAATCAAAACAGCAGCACAGATGTACATTAGATCTGCCTTATGCCATGTGTCCCGCCTGCACACACAAACCTACTAACACCATTACCAATTGAAAAAATTCTATAAAATAAGTTAGTAAATGACTGTGTGTGTGAGGGGGGATCATTCTGCAGCAAGCTCAAAAACCATGACAGCATCTATGGCATAAAATGTATGAAGCAGAAAAAGGGGGAGGAGGGAGCAAGCATGGTAAGAGCACATGGTTAGCACATGAGCTGCATGAAAAAAAGGTCTATAGGGATGTATGCATATTCAGAGGGAAAAGGGGAGGCGGAGGAGGGGGTGGCTTAAAGAAATGGGGAGGGTGGAAGGGATGTGAGGCAGGGACAGGCTGACCCAGTTAGAAATGCTGCATCACTACTGGATCTAGAGAGCAGAGACAAAGAGGAAGGAATACAATGCAGAGACTTTAAACACAGAAAGTATTGAAAGAGGGTTGGGTTAACCCACAGACATTGGGGGAGCACAATAAAAAGAATACCATTCTTTTTTGGTGTGATCAAAGTAAAACCTGAGGAGCTGTTTACTGTATTTCATGTGATTTATGTATAAAAGCTGTGCCTTTAAAAAGCAGGTGGGTATAATAATTGTGGTACACAAAATATATAATCAAAAGCGAGATGTACAAGAAAACGGTAAACCTTTAGCACATCCTGATTATACACTATTCACACATGCATTAAAGGAAAAGTTTAAAATGTGGATTTCTTAAGCTTTTAAGCATGACAAGGTCTTTAATTAACATTGGTGTTTAGATCTTAAAATGTATTATTAACCTTATACTTTACAAAATACTAAGACCTATCCCATTCAACACTCAAGGCACAACGCTACTCAGAGTTTGTTAAAACATTACTCCATCAAACAAAAACGTTTTTTTCTTTATATTACCATCATTTTAAATATATAAATCAAAATGTAAAAATATATATTCTCTGCATCCCCCAATGACATACAAGATGTTCCTGTTCCTAATTTTCCAATGACATCCATGTGACTCTGCTGCTCACTTGTACACAGCACAGGGATAAATACAATCCGAGTAGGGAGATACAACATCTCCACACGTTACCACTAGAGAGCGCCACATACCCTGTCCAGAGCTGTTCTAAACGTCCTCATATGGCTTTGCATGGATTAGAAAGCTGGTCACGTTAACTATAATGGGACTGAAGGTAAGCTACCAGCATGACACACAAACCTATATATTCACACAGATCCTGCAGCTGTCTGCACTGCAAACAAATTCAATCTTTCTGTATTTGCGCATAAAGAAAAACGATGTGTGAATTTGCTTTGTTCCTCTCCAAGTAAATCAATACTGCTGCATCGGACATACAGTACAGTAGACATGGCTGGTGTATACACTGACCTTGAAACCTCCCAACACCTCCATATCACGCCAGCTTATCTGAATAACTGAATCAATTCTGGCTTATGACTCTCTGTAGTTCCATTCACATTCTCTCACTGCAACACACCAGTCTGAGAGGAAAGGGGATGACCTAAAAGCAACATACATGAGAAAGTGAGTTCTTCTACCCTGTTTGAAGTCTTTAACTTGCATGAGGGGAAATGTGTGTGCAAGGCATGAGAAAAGTGGTGGCAGGCGGATGTAGGCCAATGTTTCTACTCGAGTGCCTCTTTGGAGAAACAGGAGTTTCAGACTGAGACAGGTTTATTATCCTTTCATTAAGTCACATGAAGCCGTTCTATGTGCACACTTCTCACTCACCAGTTTCAGTCTGACTTGGTGTGTCCTCACTCTGTCCTTTAACTACATGACTATATGCGCTGTAATATCTTTATTTTTTGTTATGTCCTTATGCTCCACCAAACCGCTCCCTGTTTCTCCACCTTTACAGACCTGCCTGACAGAGAAGGTGTGGTGGCTGCGCACTTGCCACCCTGGCAACAGTTGCCAGGATACCACAGAGCCCAGAGAAAGAGTAATTGCTGTGTGGGTCAGTGAGCAGGTGTGTGTGTGAGCACAGAAGTAGGCTGTAGCACTGTACATAATTGATAAAGGTGCCTGAACTGTCCCTGCTGCCTCCTGATGTCTTTAGCTCTGCATACTGAGCTTGTAGTGAAAGTAACTAGACTGTACCTGAGGAATAAACAACAGATGTAATTACCCTAGTCTCCAGCTCATCTCCCATCATATTTCATTAAAAATATGCTGACCAGTTCCTCGTCGATAGTTTGGCCCATGCTCAGACTGAAGTAGTAAGGATGCTAAGATGCCAGAGTGCAGCACCAGACCTACAACACAGCCTGATAGTTATACATAAATAATAGTCACTGTCTAGGGCATGGTTTCAACTTTTTGTCTAGTGACCCATTTCTCTCACTCTGATTTCATGTAGTAAGACCCAATTGTATGAAAACAAAATGTACTTTTTACACATTAACCACATAAAATTATTGGTCTTCAGTGAATACTAGATACTCATCTCATATTCTTTTCTTAATCCGTTTAACAGTAATATCAACAATCACAGCACCATATTTTATAGTTGCATTAATTGAATGGTTGCAAATATGCTTCACAAGCTGAAAAAGAAAGACTTCAAAGCAGGACAGCACAGCTTGTGTTGCCCCCGTAAGCTTGAGAACATCCAATGCTTTTAATGTTTGACAGCCTTGAAGGTGTTGCTTCAGTTCCTAAGCTCACTGTGACACTTTGTGGTGGTATATCCTGTGAAGATCTCCTTTATCTCCTATCCTCAAAAGAAAGCACACACATGGGTAACTTATATTTACAGAATTTTATTTCATTATGTTGCAAACAATGACATCCAGATATATTGATACACAACTTTTACTGTGTGTGTATGTGCAATTGTGAGTGTATGTGTATATGTGTGTAAAGAGAGCAGTGAGACCACAGAAAGCATAATGAAAATCCCGTGTGAGGGAGCCCTCAATGGGTTAACAAGGCAGAGATAGCAAGCAAGAGGGCACTGGGCGATTTTCTCTGGGCCGACATACACACACACACACACACAAACCTCAGAAAAGGTGAGCAGATTCTTTCCTCTGTAAAACACACTTTTGCTATGGGGCGTGTGCCTGTGCTATCAGCAGCTTTGGGATCATTAAGGTCCTGTGAGTGTCTACTAGAAAGCAAGTTTTGTTAAAAGAGATGAAGTAGTATGAATGAACACAGTGGGTGAGAAGCTTTGCCTCCCCTCTCTTCTCTGAGCTTCAGAGCAGAGGCAGTGGAGAGATTCTCCTGTCATAATATACAAACACACACACACTCGCACAAAGTATACACACATGTACACGTGCACTCGCCCACAGAACCTTCTGTGATTTGACTAGGGAGCTGCATCCTGGTTAGTTATTTTCTTTAACTTGTTTCCTATTTCTCCTGGACAGCTTCCACTCATTTCTTCCACGCTTACTTTCCTCACACCTTCTCTTTCACCATCCTCGCAGTGACAGACCACAACAATGAAGGCATGGAGTAAAACCAAGCAAAACAGAAAAATAAACCCCTTTAACAAGAGGTGCAGTTAGTCAGCTAACTGAAATCCACCTGCGCCAGCACACAAGGATCTTTACCCTTAGACCTGACGGGAAGTGATGACAACAGTATGCAAATTCGGCAAATTTAACAGTATACAATTTTTTGTTTGATTAACCATGCAAGGAATACTTCTTATCTTTTGAGTGTGTTTATGTGTCAGAGATTGCGTGACATTTATTAAGCGTACCCTAC